TCTGACTCCTGTTCTAACCACTGGGCCCGCCACCCAAGTCCTAGTCTCTGACAATCTGAGCTGTCCCAACCCAAATAATAAGAGAACTATAGCTGATATAGTGAGCCTGGATTCTTCAAAGGCCAGTGTCTCTCTGATGGAGACAATGGGAGCCGTACATACCTTGCAGGCCCAGGTTGCCAGGCCTACAAGCTTACATCAAGGATTATATAAGGTCCTGCAACTTCTATGCCCATACCCAATAACCCACAATCAAGACCCCTAGATCCCCTCCAGCTTCTGCCCATGCCTCCACAGCCTTGGTCTACTGTATCAATGGACTTCATTGTGGAACTGCCATGCTTACAGGGACACTCAGTAATCCAGGTTGTTGCCGACCTCTTAACAAAAATGGCGCACTTCATCCCACACTGTACTGTTCTTACTGCACAGGAGATGGCTTTGCTCTTCTTGGGAAATGTATTTCACTACTGATGGGCATTTTATCAGACTGGGGTCCCCAGTTCATCTCCCAATTCTGGCAGGAATTGAGCTCATCCATCTATCACCTGCAGATTAAAGGGCAAGCAGAATGTCATCAAATCCTGGAGCAGTAACTCTGCTCCTTTTTGAGTTCCCACCAGGATGACTGGCTTCCTCTGCTTTGCTACACAGAATTCACATATAGCAATGCAATCCACGCCACGACCCAACACAGCCAGTTATTTGCAAACGATGGCTTTCACCCCTGCTTACACCGAGACTTAGCCATGAGCTCCCCAGAACTGGCTGTTGTTGATTTAGCCTCCCATCTACACCGGGTGCGTTGGCAGCGGAATGAACACTTGCAGTCCACCAAAGAAGCCTATAAACACCATGCAGATTAAGACCGTCAGGCTGTCTCTAATCTGGCCATAGGGGACAAGGTGTGGCTGTCTTCCCAGAAGCTGGCCTGAAGTAGGCTGCCTGATTGGTTGGAAGAGTCAGCAGACCAACTCTTAAGCCCAGCAGCAGTTCTTCGGTTGCTTGAAGCATTCGCCCACAGCTGCGATCGCTCCTGTGCTTGCTTGTTCCAGCCCTGCTCCTGCCTTGCCTCACTCCAGGTAACCTGGTCCTGACCCTTGGCTCTGATTTCTGACTTGGGCTCTGGCATCTGGCCTCTGACTCCAGCTCTGACCTTGGGCTCCTACTCCTGGCTGTTGACACATGCTCTAACCACTAAACCTGATTCCTGCTCTGCCCATTGAGGACAACCACCTGCATCCTGGTCTCTGATACAGACCTCTCCATTACATTACTCTGCCACCTATTCCTCCACATTAGCTGTGAAATATTCTATAATCAGCTGCATATTTTCGTTTGGCACTCTGTCAATGAGCTCCAGAAGTTGGCTGGGGGACTCCAGTTTCATCATCCTTGGCTGCTGTAGTTAGTGCCTGAGCTTGAATAATAGGCAGATTTACTGGAACTCCTTTGAGGCAGATTGAAATGAGGCCGTCACTGACTGGACTGTATCCCAGTATTTATGCAGATGCATCCTTGTTCAGAAGAAATGCTGTTTCTCTCTCAGCTATCCCTTCTGTCCTTGTATACGCAGCTAAGTCCTCTCTGCAGGAGTTTATAAACTGACCTCAAAACCGCCACTGAAAGTGTATGCAGGAGGGGAAAGTGTAGTTGTTCTGTTTGGACCTTTAGACATGTTAGCTGGTCATTCATGATCTAAAAAACTCTTCACAGGCCTTACATTCTTAGGAGAAAGACTTCCTAAAGGACACGGTCTATTTCCTAATTTTGGGTTTGCCATATTAGTCTCTCTAAGAGCCCCAACTTCAGAGTGAATGGTTCATTTATATCAACTTAAGGGCTCTTTGAAGAATTTTATGATCCATTTTTTACTTGAAGATTTAATGATTATTCCTTCTACCTATACACATACAATTTTCGTTATTTTAGAAGCTGATTTCCAACACAAGCTTATGCACGCACTAATTTGCTCTTTTGTACAATCTGATTTCAATAACACATGCATTGCATTTATATCTGGATTGGCTGAAACGATTGTATTTCCATCTGGATGAGCTGAAAGCAATTGAATTTTTTTTCATTTCTGAATTAGCAACACACCTGTTGTTCACAATAGAAGACTAGGTGCTAGATTTATTAATTCCAGAACAAAACAAACCACCTTCTTGCTGCCATGTTCATTGTTTCTTTCAAATCTAACGAAAGCACTCCCGGTGTTATTTCAGTATTGAAGGTAAGGACATTTCTTTCAGTGGGAATGCACTGCAGACCATTTGCGCTGGGATCTTAACCCTTAGAGCTTCTCTTCTTCAGATGCATCTGCTGGAAATGCCCTCTTGAAGCTTTATTTTCCCTTTCAGATTAAAAAGGACACGTGTGAAATGTGTGAAATATAAGTTGTCTATTGATGTCTTGAAAATTCATTTACCATATTGTCTGCCTGGTAACTTGGATTCCTCAAGCCAATCACTAGCCTAATATATTTGAAGGAGGAGGGTGTTTTTGCATGCCTTGGTCCTCAATTGCCTATTGCTATTTTTATGGGTCTTTCTCATCTTTCAGGCATTGGAACTGACACTGTAATATTTCCTGATCATATGATCAATTTATGGTCTCAGATTTTGCAAACACAACAGTCAAATGACTGCTGTTGTAACATGTTGCAAAAATACATATTCTTGTCTAATTATAATCTCTTGCAGTAATGCCAGGTTCTGCCTGCAGTAAGCTTTGGCAGGGTTGGGGGACTGCTTTCAAGGCAAGTGTAAAACTGTCTGTAACCTGTATAGCCATTTTGAAAGGATTGTTCAAATCAGTACCAACACATTTCAAATACACAATGAAACAAAAGTTGGGTTTGGTCTGGCTAACAGTTGCGAAACTATCACTGAACTGCATTTGGAGAGACTCCAAACACTTCAGTTTAGGCTCTGGGGAAGGGATAGGCTGTTGGGTTTCGCATGAATTTGATTCTGTTAAAATTGAAAAAGGACTTGTATATTGGGGAAGACATTTGTATGTAGAGGGCCAAGTTCTCTGTGGGTGTGGGCGTGGGCTGGTACAGCTCCACTGACTTTAAACAACCTGCTTTCTCAATTTGGCAAAAAATGGAGTGGGGCCAGTTCAGAATTTGGATGCTTATTCATGAGGCAGAATGGTGCTCCATTGGCATCTATGACAGACCCAGACCAGTGGGGTACAGGAGTCTGGTAGAGGACAAATATACTGGTCACTGGATGAGTAGTTTTCTGTTCCCTGAGTGACCAGAGCAGGGGCTGCACTAGAGTAATCAGGAACCTGCTAGAACCAGTTAAGACAGGCAGGCTAATTAGGACACCTGGAGCCAATTAAGAAGAAGCTGCTAGAATCAATTAAGGCAGGCTAATCAGGGCACCTGGGTTTTAAAAGGAGCTCACTTCAGTTTGTGGTGTGAGGAGCTGGGAGCAAGAGGTGCAAGGAGCTAAGAGTGAGAGGGTGTGCTCCTGGAGGACTGAGGAGCACAAGCGTTATCAGACACCAGGAGGAAGGTCCTGTGGTGAGAATAAGGAAGGTGTTTGGAGGAGGCCAGGGGGAAGTAGCCCAGGGAGTTGTAGCTGTCATGCAGCTGTTACAGGAGGCACTATAGACAGCTGCAGTCCACAGGGCCCTGGGCTGGAACCTGGAGTAGAGGGCAGGCCCAGGTTACCCCCAAACCTCCCAATTGACGGTGGGTTCTTCCAGAGGGGAAGGTCTCTGGGCTGTTCCCCAACCCACATGGTGAATCTCTGAGGCAAGAAAATCTGCCAATAAGCGCAGGACCCACCAAGATAGAGGAGGAACTTTGTCATACATCACATTGGCCAACCTCAAAACTTCTACCCAACAAGGGACATGAGCCAAATGAGACTCAAGTATAAAGTGGCAGACAAAGGACTAATGGTTTCTGGGAAGATCCTTTTTTATCGTATTATTATTATTTATTTTACCTCTCCTGAGAACAGCACCACTATGCTTCCCGCTAATATTGCCTACAATGTTGAGAGTTTTCTTCTGCTGCCTCCAGACTGTCCAGCAGCTCTACTCTGTGCTCTGCTTGTGCTACAGAAAGCAACTGGGGTCTGAAAGGTAGACCCCGGAGAGGGGAAGGAGTCTAAAGAGAGAAAGGAAAAGAAGAGTGAGAGAGGTAAAAGAAAGGTGGCGAAGAGAAGTCGACCGAGGGATGGAGAAAACTGGAACATGGAAGCAGCACAAGAGAGAAAGTAGATGAGAAAGGGAAAACACAAGAGAGATATAGGCAATCTGTCCTGCCAGAAATAGAGCCCCTAGTCAGTGTCGAGGAGCTGGTGCCTTCAGATGAACCAGGTTAGGCAGTGGGAAGAGCAGGAGAAAAGAATCAACTGACTAGACCAAAATACGGAAAGGACAGAAAGAAGGGAGAGTGCACACATTACATTTTCTCTAGATTGGTTTTATTTAAAGGCGGATCTCCCTTGCCAGGCTTCTTTTTTTGGCACCTTTTCTTTTGTACCTCTTCTTCACCCCACCCACCCTCTCTGCGTGTCATCTTTCTTTCCATCTTTCTTTCTTCTTTCTTTCTGACTCAGCTGCAATGCCCATTCCTGTCTATAGTTTCCTGCTGGGTATGCTCTGTTGCAACCCACCGGGAGGCTAGGCAGCTTCTAGCATCCCCCACCCCACTCCCAGCCTCCTTTTGTCTGGAGCTCCAAAATTACTGCTTCTGAAATTGCTACTTTTCACCCTATGGGTCTGCATTGATAGCAAGGAAATGCAGAAAAGGGAACATGGTTTAAACATTTTCCTTTTCAAGTTTGCCCTAGTATGGAAGTCCTTATTGAATCCAAGCATCTGGTGCTTAGTGTTAATGGGTATGAAAGAGGTGCATGAAACAATGTACTGATTAGAAATACAGGAAAATGGCTATACAGGTGACTTGGGTGTAGAATTGCGGGGAAGTGAAGCAACTTGTGTTCATTGATTCTCCTGTTGTGTTGCCTCAGGTAGAGGAACGTTCTCGACTCAACCGGCAAAGCTCCCCAGCAATGCCTCACAAAGTGGCTAACAGGATATCTGATCCAAACCTGCCTCCTCGTTCAGAGTCCTTTAGCATTAGTGGCGTGCAGCCAGCTCGGACACCACCCATGCTCAGACCAGTGGATCCACAGGTATGGGGCTTTGGTCCTAGGTCCCTGCAAGTTTAATTACACTAGGAGGCTGGTGGGTCTGGTAAGAGAACCACAACATTTGTGTATTAAAAGTAAAGAATTTCTCAACACGTGGGTTTCTCAGTTCTAGATTTGTTTGTGAATAAGAGCAGCATCTGCATTTACACTAGATGGAATAAAAATAAAAGGATTACAGCTCTCATGCTGCCAAGTATGATCATTAGTTGAAGACAAGGTTGTGTTCTTTCTTCTCCCCTCCATAGTATAACAGCACTGTTAGGTACGTTATGATGTTTTTTTCCTTCCTTTGAAGCATCAGGTATTGGCTGCTGTTGGAGACAAGTTGAAGGACTTAGGTGAACCATTGGTCTGCTCCAGTATGACAGTTCCTTTGTTTCTGTTGGGACACTTTTCCCAAAGTGAAACCACCTGGTACAGTAGGCCTAGTATGGCTCGATGTTTAGGGTTATCAGAAAAAGATTTTGCTTCTTTTTCTTCAAAAAAATTTTTTTTAAACATTCAGTTAACATCAATCCCAATCATACATCTGGAAAAGCCCGACCACAAGATCCAAAAATACACTTTCACAAGACATCATAAGGCTGTAGAGACTGGGCCCAGAAATGCAGGCACAACTCCTGTGGTGTGAGGGCTCCAAGAGTGTGTCTGCTGCCAGCACTGGATGTAAAATCTTTGCCCTAAGTTTGTATGTGGTTTCTACAGGAAAATCCACAAATTAAGTGAACTTCATCCACATGGTATCTGCCTCTGCTAAAGTCTTTAGTACCACCTCGTGAATCAGCAGTGCGATGTGAACTTTAACTTGCTATGTGAGGAAGGCCTTGCAGCATTTTATTTTTTTCAGATGGAGTCCAGAATTAAACAAACAATAAACATCCCATCTCACCGTAGTCTTTTAACTGACAGAAATTAAATATACTTCACCTGCCTCCTTTAAAAGTTTCCAAACCTTATGCTTTTTTTAAAAAGTGACTGGCATTCATTGTCAAACAATTTCATATATAGACTTTTTCCATTACTAAGATGTTATTGAAAGACTTTATCATTTCACGCACAAAACCCCATATAAATATGTGTGTAAATTTGTTATTTACACTGGTAATAGAAGATGCCATTTTATGCTGTATCAAAGGAGCCCTTGGCTAAATCCCTCCAGATCTTGTCAGTGTGAAGGGGTTTAGCAAGGGCACTTGCACTTTTATAAGGTTTTTGGGAAGCAGCGTTGACCTGATGTAACCTAAGCATTCTCCGATGGATAAGGTACAAGTGCCATCCTAACTGTAGCGCTCCTAAGGCTTGCAAGAGAGAGAATCCTTAGGGCTATTGGACAGGATACTATTGGACTGTGGAGGTTCACACCATTATTGCTTTTTTGTTGTTGTTTTTTAAAGCCATCAGTGCTTCAGACTTCCTGGAGACTGAAGCTGTTTCTTCACATTTATTTTTTCCGTCATTTTTTCTTTATTTTTTTTTTTATTAAAAACCCTAGGAAATTTCATACCAAAATCATCAGGGTAATGTTAAAGTTGCATGGCTAAGAACTTAAAAAACCAGGAATGCCAAGTTAGGGTTTCTAATGCAACCTTCATTGTGCTTCCTTGTGTATTTGAGGTTATAGAAAAAAATACATGACATATGTATATTGTATTATTTAAGAAATATGTGATCATGCATATAAAGACTATTGTCATGCATATGCAAAAGTAGTCAGAGTAAAGGTTACATGTGCAACCCTAACTTTGGCATTTCCTGACCTTAGAATGCTGAACTATGCAACCTTAATGTTCTTTTAAGAAAGTTTTCATATGGAGTTTGTATAAGAAGCCAGAAAGGCCTGAAACCAAAACACAGTGCAGATTTCAAATCAAGGTGTTTTTTTTTTTTAAATACATTAGAACTATTGAGATTTTTTAAATTTTTTTTTAAACATTTTATGCTGATGGTTTTGTTTTGACTTGGTGCTTAGATTCCACATCTGGTCAGTGTGAAATCCCAAGGAACCTCCTTGTCTGGCTCTCAGTCACTGCACGAACAACCCGCAAAGGGAATGGCTGGGTTTCAGGAGGCTCTGATGGTGACCTCTCACCGCACTGAGATGCCAAGGCAGAACTCGGACCCCACCTCAGAAAACCCTCCTCTCCCCCCTCGCATTGAAAAGTTTGACCGAAGTTCTTGGTTACGACAGGAGGAGGACGTTCCACCAAAGGTAACATTTGTATTGCTCCTAACTGCGAAAGCTTGAAAGAGGCAATCTCCGAGCTCATCCCCTCAGCGCTGCTCAGCGCTGCAATGCAGGGGACAGAATTTTGGGGCTTCTTTCTGAACCGGTGGAGTTCACATCCTGTTAAATTCAGGGACTGGTCCTGTGCAGTGCAAAGCATCTCCTGCGTAGTGCTAAGCCCGAGGGTGCTCAGGACTTTAGAGATGTTCAGCAGTTTGCAGGTTTGGCCCTCAGCTGGTATGCAGTTTTTTTTCTTATTACCACTATATGTGTAAGTCTTGTGATATACTGCAAAGAAAATTCTCAAGCCCAGGTTGAATCCAGAACAAATCAACATCTATTCTCTCTTGGGAAAAAAATGCTTTCTAATTAAATTGAATTATTTAGGAACATAAAATTTGTCATACTCAGACCTTTGGTCCTTCTAGTTCAGTGTCCTGCCTCCAGTTGTAATCAATACCTGATGGAAGATTTGTAAGGGCTCCAGCAGCTTTATACCTTCAATGACATTACGGCAGCATCTGGCAGCACCTCTTTAATTAAGGCTCTTCTATTACAATATTTCAGCTGCATTGTTCATAAGCTTTTTTGCAAGGGGTTGGGGGTGGGGGAATGAATTATAACTTTGCTGTTAAAAATTTTCCTGAAATGGAATCAGCTCTCCGCTCAGGAACATATATACAAAGAAAAAGGTATTGTAAATTGATTAGAGACATTGAAGTAAACAGTATTTTTCCATGATTTAAATGCAGTTTTGCTGTGCTCCAGCAAATAAGCAACTTGCATTTTAAAATAAAGTACACCTCTACCCCAATATAACGCTGTCCTCGGGAGCCAAAAAATCTTGCCGTGTTATAGGTGAAACCGCGTTATATTGAACTTGCTTTGATCCGCCGGAGTGCGCAGCTCCGCCCCCCTGGAGCGCTGCTTTACCACATTATATCCGAATTCGTGTTGTATCGGGTTGCGTTATATCGGGGTAGAGGTGTATCTGCTATTTATGTATGGGAGCCATCATGTATTGTGTCAGCACATAATACTGTTTACACTTTTGGCTACCATCTTATTGAGAGGCTCCATTAGCGCTTACCTCAGGGGAGAGTAAGCTGGCAGTAATTTTTAAATATGAGAATTCTTTGGTGAAAACACATCTCTTGATGCTAATGCTCTGACCAGTTACCACGCAGTGTCTCGCCTTTCCTTACTAACGTGATTCAGAAGATGTCAGCTGCCCAACTCTGGCAACGTCTGCTCCCCTCCAGTGTTTTTGGAATTCAATCGGTTGAGATTCAGACCTGGCACAGGAGAGTAATAGTGGCTGTTGCATGTTCTACTCAGCGTAATGGACAAGGGTGGGCTGCCCGATCATCCTATCAGTGTCCTTCAATACTACTGCAATTGGGAAGTGCTGCCGACTCTTCTGGAGGACTTGGCAGGGATGGATAGGAGTTGCTTTGAATTGTCTTCATTCATTGTCTACCGAAAGATTAAGAAGGGTAATTGCTGTCCTCCAAGAGTTCTCACTTGCAGAGTCTCTTAAGGACAGTCTTATCGGCCCTCTGTTCAGACAGTATGTGAGGATATTGTTAGAGCTTGTGAGATGGGCCACAGTGTCTGCAATATGCTATTGATACCCATTTCTTTTCGCTGAGCCAGGGCAAGCTGTTTCCTTGGTTACCTAGTATTTGCTGGAGACATTACTGGGACATGGATAAAAGCTGGCAGACTTTTGGTTGTCATACCTGATTGGATAATAGGCCTTTGTGGTCCAGTGCCTTGTGTCTGACAGTTTTCAAAACTAGATGCTCTAGAAGAAGGTGCAAGAAGCTCAAAAAAGAAAATTAGGGAATAATCTATCCATGGAGGAGGTTTCTTCTTAATCTAACCACTTATTGCTTGGTATGCCCTGAAACATGAAGACATCTCTCTTTCTTAGCCTAAAATAATTTTTTTAACTATCAAACATAATTGTGGATCTTCCCATTATCAATACAATGACTAGTCCTTTTTTAAATCCTACTAAGCTTCTGCCTCATCTTGTGTCAGGGAGTTCCACAGGTAAGCAATGACCTTAGTTCTTATCATAGGGCTGAAGTATTGCATAACATCCTCTATGATACTGATGTGTAAAAGGCACACAGAGAGCTCTAAATTACAGTGGAGTGAGTCAAGGTCAAGGTTCCAGCCTTGTGTAAAAAGGTGCTGAGTCCAGAAGCCCTTATTTGCTATGGAATGTTGTTTGTTCTGGGATATCTGAGGTGATCCATCCTAATTTGAACATCTGGTTTTCAGTGACATCTGGCTTTCAGCTAATTGTACAGCTGAAATTACTGAGGCCAAAAAGTCATGTGACTTGATCAAGGTAGTTGAATGGCTCAGCCTGGATTCCACACAGGGACCTTCCTTCTTCCCATCTCTTGTCTTTGACCACTAGGCAGCATTACCTCTATGGTATTATTACAGTGTAATTTATTTTTACCTGAACAAGTAGCTCTAAAAGCTGCTACATTGAGCTTGCTGATTAGTCCAGATTTTAGGACTGTTATGTTTTGAATGCGTTTTTTGTTAAATTTGGTGTATACCTAATGTTTTATATAAATCTCACTGCTTGATATTAACACCTACTTTTTTTAGACTTCAGGCGACTATACGGTCAGAAATGGCCCTGCCTTACGAGGGATAAAATAAATGACTTTTCAGGTCTTTCCTGTCTCAGACATCTACGATTCTTTGTACATGCCAAGAACTTTGTGTTTTATAACTGCGGTGAATATTTCATATCTCTCAGTGGAAAAGTAATTACACATCCAGCTAGAAAACCTGCCGAAACCTGATCTTCCCCCAAATGCATGAAGAGAATATCCAAGTTCAATTGTACAGTCCTAATAGCTTTGACTCTTTTTCAATTTTCTTTCAGGTGCCTCAGCGAACAACTTCCATATCCCCAGCACTAGCTAGAAAGAACTCCCCTGGGAATGGCACTGCGTTGGGAGCTAGATTAGGATCACAGCCCATCAGAGCAAGGTACGGGAGGCCACGTGGGAAAGGGAGACAAATATTAATGAATCCGTCTCTTAGCTTTATAATTTTCTTCCTAGTGCCCTGGTTTGTGAGCTTCACAAAGGAAGCGGGGACGCTGGGTCATGAGCCAATGCCCATTGAATTCAATGGATGGATTACCACAATCTGTGTACTGCTGTTGGGGGAAGCAGAGAGTCTGATCATAACAAACAAACACCAAACCAATGATATTAGTCCCCAGACTGGCTCCCATTGGAATCAATGGCAAAATTCCTAGGATCCAGTCCTTAGTCTTCTTGTCAATAAATCTAGTCAAAATTTAAAAAATAATTAAAGCACTCTCTGCTCTCTTTTCACATGGATTTACTGATAAACTACAGTTGCTTTGCATCTCCACCATAGCTCGATGATGTATGAGATTTGCATTAATTAGAATTGTACAGCGTCACCAAAGGCTGTGAACATTTGGACTCTGGGACTCCTAATATTATCTGTGCAAAATCCTACTGTGCAAAATCCTACTGTGTTGAAATTTCTACGTTAGACTTTGCAAGATTTCTAGCTGGATGCAGAAGATGCTCTGGACTCTCAGCTACTGTTATTGATTTGATTGGGAATTTTGCCATAACTCTAGGGGAAGCAGGATTTGCTCTTCTCAGCTCCTTCCTGCTGTACACTGAGGGTCAAATTCGGTGATGCTGAGGGGTGAGCAGAGCCGGTCGTAGATACGTTCTCCAGTATTCCTGCTAGCCAGAGCAGGACTCCATCAATAGTGCAGGGGACTGTGCAGGGGGAGGACTGTGCATTGTTGCTGTCCAATAAGGGTTTGATCCGGCTTAAATTCAAGTCAATGACAAAATTCCCATTATGGTAAATGGTTCCTATAGAAACAGTGTGTGTCCCTGGCTAGCATGTGCCGCTGACATTAAGTAGTTGGGGACTAGACAGTTCCCTTAACCCAGGTTGGCCTATTAACCATTCCTACACCTAGCACTCACAGGAAAGATCCTGCCCTAACTTCCCCTAATCCTCATTATAATCTCCTATCCCTTTCCCATTGTGCACCAGGACAGCACATGATAAGATCTAGCCCTGGGCTTTTTAAAACAATAGAAAATGCAACCGGTTCAGTCATAGCAGAAGCAAAAGAATGAACTTAGACAGGTGAGATCTTGTCTTTGATTTGCAGATTGTGGGCAGACCTCCAGATCTCTTCAAATGAAATGCCATCTTAAATCTCAGGATAAATATTTGCATTCCATGTATTTTTGTATTATGGAAATGTTTGAGGTTTCTTGTCCTCTGAGGATGAGGTCAAAGGCTTCAAACTAGATGTTCCTAGGTAGGATAGTCTCAGCCAAATTGCCAATAGTACACGACTTTCAGCATAAGCTTTTCTTCCCAGCCAGTCTGATTCACTCTGCAGCAGCAGCACTGCATTCTGTGTAGCAGGCTCAGGTGTAAGGTGGGTGCTAGGGTAGCCAAAGAAATATGTCTTGCCAAATATTTTTAGAAAAAAATATTTTTGTTATGAGCAGAAAGGCCATTTACCTCTAGCATGGGTGTCACCGGGTGGACTGGGCTCTTTAAGAAGGAAGTGCTCCAGCCCACCTGGGCCTCTTCAACAGCCTCAGTGGGGGATTGATAGAGACAGAAGTTCCCTGTAAAGAGACAGAGGGGAACAGGAAGCAGGAAGAAGAAGCTGTGGCAAAGAAGAGGTGTAGTGAGCTGGAAGCTCCTGCCAGAGACCCTGCCTGGGAGCAGGGTTGGAAGCCAGAGCCAGAGCCAGAGCCAGAGCCAGAGCCAGAAAGCTCAGCCCCCACTAGAAAGGGCAGGGAGTGGCAGCTTCATGGGGAACAGACTGAGACAGAAGATGAGCTCTGAGTATGGTAGAAGATGCCAGAGCTGAGTATGAACCTGTGATGTGGTGATGGACTTCATTTTGGGACTCTAAGGACTGTTTTTGAACTGTTTCTGGTATGAAACCAGCCCCAGGCATGGGTGGTGGTAGCCAGGAAAAAGACCGTATGGAGTTCTTAAGGGGCCCTGGAAAGGAAAAGAAAGGTAGGGTGCCACAGAGCCACCTCTGACCTTGAGGGGGTGCTCAGAAGGTGGCCAACCCTGTTACAGTTTGGTTTTAGTCACCTCCATTACCCAGGGCCAAAGCATACTCAGTTTCCCAAAACAGAATCTCTCACTATTCGTTAACTGTGCCCTAAAGGACATTTTTTTTAGAAGCAAGGAATATTCCAATACATAGTCACGACACGAGGAAGAACCAGCACTTAGAATAACGATGATACCATTGGACTGTTTGACTCAAGTAAGGGTGTCCGGTTTATCTATCAGACTCAACGACCTGACTGCAGTTGGTATAGATAAATGTGTCTGTTGCTAAAGTTTTAAAAGAAGTTTCATCAACCAGATAACATCTTAGCCAAGACAACACCGGCTATACCACATAATGTGGAGTTCCACAACTGTTCAACTACATTTACAATAATGCCAAAAAGTATATTAAATTAACCGTTGGATGCAGCAATAACATTTTTGTATCTTCTCTTCTTGTCCTTTCATTCCTCACTATTTTTCTGGATTCCTTCCAGCTTTGTATAAACTCTAATTTTGTATTGAACATTATTTTAATTGTTATTCTATTGTAACCTATACGGGCCATTTCCATGATAGGGTTGCCAACTTTCTACTCACACAAAACCAAGCATCCTTGACCTGTCCCTGCCCCACCCTTTCTCTGAGGCCCCACCCCCCGCTCACTCTCCCCACCCCCCGCTCACTTGCTCATTTCCCCACCCTCACTCACTCGCTGGCTCGGGTTGGGATGTGGGAGGGGGTGAGGGCGCCAGCTGGGAGTGCGAGCTCCAGGGTGGAGCCAGAATGAGGAGTTCGGGGTGCAGGAGAGGGCTCTGGGCTTAGACAGGGGGTTGGGATGCCGGAGGGGGTAAAGGGCCCAGGGTGCAGCCATGGATGAGGGGTTTGGGGTACAGGAGAGGGCTCTGGGCTGGGGGGTGGAGCCGAGAGGGTTCAGAGTATGGGAAGGGGCTTCGGGCTGAAGCAGAGGGTTGGGGTGCGGGCAGGGCCGGCGGGGACTCGGCTCTTCCCCCCCCCCCGCCCGGCCCCGCGCCCCCCGGGGGGGGGGCGCGGGCCCCGGCTGGGGCTCGGCTCTCCCCCCCGGCGGCCAGAGCGCAGGGCGGCGAGCCCCGGCAGGCCGGGGGGAGGGCGGCCAGAGCACCGGGGGGAGGGCGGCGAGCCCTGCTGTGGCCCCGCGCTCCCCGGCGGCCGGAGCGCCGCGCCGCCGCCCCCCTCCAGGTGCCGCCCCAAGCACCAGCTTGGGTGCCTGGTGCCTGGAGCCGGCCCTGGGTGCGGGGGGGGGGGTGAGGGCTCCGGCTGGAGATGCGGGCTTTGGTGTGGGGCCGGGGATGAGGGATTTGGGGTGCAGGAGGAGGCTCTGGGCTGGGACTGAGGGGTTCGGAGTGTGGGAGGGGGCTCCAGGCTGGGGAAGGGGGTTGGGGTGCAGAGGGGGTGAGGCCTCTGGCTGGGGGTGCAGACTGTGGGGTAGGACTGGCTCCAGCTGGGGGGGTGGGGTTGGGGATGAGGGGTTTGGGACATAGGATGGCGCTTCAGGCTTGGACTGAGGGGTTCAGAGGGCTGGAGGGGGATCAGGGCTGGGGCAGGGGGTTGGGACACAGGGGGTTGAGTAGTGCAGGCTCTGGGCGGCGCTTACATCAAGCAGCTCCCAGAAGCAGCAGCATGTCCCACCTCTGGCTCCTACATGGAAGCACTTCCAGGCAGCTCTGCATGCTGCCCCATGGGCAGGTGCCACCCCCGCAGCTCCCATTGGCCGTGGTTCCCAGCCAATTGGAGCTGCAGCACTGGTAGTTGGGGTGGGGGGCTCCGCACCTGTGCCTAGGAGCCGGAGGAGTGGACATGCCAAAGCTTCCGGTAGCAGCGCGGAGCCATGGCAGGCAGGGAGCCTGCCTTAGCCCGGTGAGCCACCAACCGGACTTTTAACAGTCTGGTCAGCTGTGCAACCAGACACCTGGCAACCCTATGCACAGAAAGCTACTATCATTCTTCACAAGCATGTTAATATTGCTGTTATCTTCTTAATAACTTCCCGTGAAAAATCAAGGTACACTGGACAGTAATTCTACATAATAGTCATCCAAAACAAAGTCCAAATAAAACTGATCCTGCCAAGAAATCATTTATGGCAATGGGACTTTGCACAATAAATGCAGTTTGTGCTGTTGTGAGCACTGGCTCAATTATTCAGGATCATTTATATTTCACGTGTTACACACATCTTATGCTGCTTATGCAGTGCCTTTGATTCCAGGTTACATATTATATAATGCAGAAGTATTGCCACATGTTGTTCTCAGTACTCAGGGTCCAACTTGAACTCCATGTAACAAGCTTCCACTCATTTATAGAAAGACTTTGAATAATAAAATCAGTTAGCAGAAATATTGTGTAAAAAGGTATTGTACAATGCTGCATGAACATATTTTCTGTTGCCATTAAAGTGTCAAGGATTAATTTCATAAAGATACGTGAAACCCGGAGAAATGTTGGTTGTGTCTGTAAATCAAAACCACTTTTTTTTTTTATTTAAAACTCTGCATGTATTCGCAAGAAAGGGTGAGACAGAAGAAGAGAAATGATAAAGTTGGCAACTTATGTGTCAGGTTTCAGCCTCTTGCCATTTGAAATGGCTGAGATATGAGACCATGAAAATCTGGGAATGCTGATGCACAGCAAATATACTTTGCAGTCACGTTGCAAATTTTAGCAGCAGAATAGATATTATGGAAAAATAGCTAATCTGCAAGCACCTACTTTTTAAAACAGAATATTTTTAACCATTTAAAATTAAATAACTTTTAAATTGCAGTTTTTGATTTTGTTTGGTTTTTGTAGTTAAGGCCAGTTGGTATAAAATTTGCAGAGCCCCATTGACTTCAGTGGCACTGAATGGTGATGTTATCAGGGTTAGCTCTGCCATACCTGGCTTTTCCTAGGTCAACAAAATACTAAAGCCAGTAAAATGTTTGTTGGGGCTGTGAGGACGTGACCAATTCCAGTTTGCCTAGCACAGCAAAACCCTCTATCTGGCCCTGGCTGCTGTGTCAACTGGTTGTCTTTTAGTTTCTGGAAACTACTAATTAGTGATAGAGGGAAGAATTTGCAAAAGCATCTAAACTGCTTTTCAAACGTGCCTAAAGGATCTTGTCTTCACTAGGAAAAAAGGTGTGTTCTCAACTCGAGTTAGCTAACACAAGGTAACTAACTTGAGGTGAAATTCTAGTGAAGGCAAAGTAGTTGTCAGTTTTCGTTCATGATAGCAGGTTGAGTTAAAGGCTATGGGGGGAGCAGAGCATTTGCCTTGATCTGCTCATTAAAAGTACAAATTGCCTTGTCTTTGCTTGGATTTTACCTCGTGTTAGTTACCACGTGTTACCTAATTCAAGTTAAGACCACACCTTTTGTCCTAGTGCAGATGCATCATGAGTGTCTTACCAGACTAAGTCTCAGGGCTTGTCTTCACTACTGGGGTAAGTAGAGCTAAGTTACGCTACTCCAGCTACGTGAATAACGTAGCTGGAGTCGACGTAGCTTAGGTCGACTTACTGCGGTGTTTTCACTGTGCTGCGTTGACAGGAGACACTCCGGTCAACTTACCTTAATCTTCTCAGGGAACTGGAGTTCTGGAGTCGATCGGAGAGCACTCTGCCATCAATTTAGCAGATCTTCATTAGACCCGCTATATCGACACCCGCTGCATCGATGGCAGCAGCGTTGATCTCCCGGGTAGTGAAGACAATCCCTCACTGTCTTGCAATGGGATGTAAGCTCTTGAGTCACGGAGGCACTCTTGAAAAGTCACTTCAATGAAAATTTTACCCAGAATGCTTAGGCTCTGAAATGCACAGAATTATACAGTACTAAAGCTACCACAGTCGTTTTGTCATCTTGTGTTGCATGTCACCATGGTAGATCTGATCCTCTCATGTCAACTTTGAAAGGACCTGCTGCTTTAATAACACTAACCTGTTATATTGCTTCCAACTGAATGAAGACTTTCTCCCAACTCTCCAGAACAGTTACGCCATCTAACTGCAGTTTTCCTTCATTCTGATGTGCAATAGTAACCCTGACCTGAGGAGAACTGAGCCCATCATTGAAAGTCCCCTACAGAGGACCAGTAGTGGCAGCTCCTCCAGTTCCAGCACCCCCAGCTCCCAGCCTAGTTCCCAGGGAGGATCCCAGCCTGGTTCCCAAGCTGGCTCCAGTGAACGTAATAGAGTCAGAGGTGAGATGACTTCTTTTTTAAACTGCTCTTTAGGCCCTGATCCTGTAGCCTTTCTCCACTCCTTTGGCAAGTCACTTAACCTCTCCCTGGATCTGATCTGATCTCATGAGTGTGAAAAGCTGGTTTAAATAGATCCACTGAAGCCATGGAGTTGCACCTGATTTTAGACAGCTGTTTTTTTTCCTGAGATTAGGTTCTGCTCCTACACCTCAGTTTCTTCCCTTCTAACATGGAGATGATACTTATTCACCTTTTCACAGTGCTTTCAGATTGTCTGTCTGCTGAAAGGGGCTGTGTTTGTACAGAACTTTATTTATTTATTATCCAAAACCCTCATAGACCTGACTTAGCGTTTTGCAGGCAAAGTGACTACAAGTTTTGGTCCAATATTCTGTATGTATATCGTTGCAAGATCCTCCTATAGAAAGAGGCAGGGATTCTGTGGTAGTGAAATATAATGAATTTCTCATTCACTTTTTTCTTCTCTAATCCAAATTCAGCTTTTTTGGGTGTTTTACTTCATTTGTGTGCAGTGAGCATTCCAGGGCATAGAGAAGTGAATTAAGCCATTTCTTTTAAAAGTTTTTCAGAACAGAACCATGTTTACACTGGGTTTACATTCCTGGCTGATTTGTTTCCTGGCATCTTATAGGTGTTGAAGAGCTTCTTTTTCCCCATCTAATCGCAATAGCAGTTGCCAAAGCATATCCAGCCAGTTTATCTGTATTTCTCTCACAGTCCTGGAGTATAAATCCACAGACTAAAGCACATTAAAACAAGTGCTGCACCCATGCTTTGAATTTTTTATGACTTGACTGTAAGTTTATGCAATATTTGTGGAGCCACGTTGGTCCCAGGATATGAGAGAGACAAGGTGGGCGAGGTAATATCTTTTATTGGACCAGCTTCTGTTGGTGAGAGGGACAAGCTTTCAAGCTTAGCTCTTCTTCAGGTATGAAGAAGAGTTCTGTGTAAGCTCAAAAGCTTGTCTCTCTCTCACCAACAGAAGTTGATCCAACAAAAGACATTACCTCACCCACCTTGACTGTAAATTGGCATGTCTCTTGTTAAAATAATCACTCCTCTAGGTAGTCAATAAAAGTAATTTATCAGCAATTGTTCTGTTTTTGGTTTTTAGTTAATGAGGAATTCTGTGAGTAATAACGTCCTTGCTGTATCAGATAACACAGTGCTTCTAATTTATCATATGCCCAGCTCCTCTGCAGAGTGAATGTTTTTTTAATAGAAAAAGGACAAGAATGTTGAGAGTGCCATATATGGGGATTAGATTTAGTTATAAATTCTCTTGCTACACTGAGAGAGGACAATGCAATAGAGCTATATCATGGAGAGCCCGTTTCAAATAAACTGCATGGCAACAGGCTTTACAGAGTCACGTAATACAATTACAAATTAAATAAAGTGATGGCTGAGGGAGAGAGGATTTGAGCTGTTTTCAGCCAAGCGGTAGATGAGGTAGAGAGAAACAGGAAAGGATTTTCCAAACAAGAGGCAACAGATGCTGTAGGGGTGAAAACCATGGCAAGATAGTTTGGCGTGACAATGCTAGGCTACATAGAGTTGTGATCAAATCACAGCTCTGGGAGGTCCTTTTCTGACTTTGCCAGTGTCACTCTATGGCCTTGGGCAAGTCACTCAGGGCCAGGCTGTCCATGACCCTTATTTAAGAGTACTGCAAGAGCCAGGGACCACCTCAGTCTGTGAGCTCAGGAGCACAGGTACAGCTTGCGCTCTCTCTCTCCCTGCATCCCAGAAGGTGCAAGTCACCACCGAAGGAGACTGGCCATGGGCTGTCCCCATTCTTTACAGGCTCACTACCACAGGGTGGTGCATCTTGCTTGCTCTTTCTCTCTCTTGACCAGGGAGCTGGGGTGAGATTGTGCCTCAGCACAATCCTTTCCCACGCTCTTGCTGCAGCTGGACACGTCTGTATCACTCTACACAGGGCTCTGCCAATGTGGCACAACCTTAATCTCTGTAAAGCGAGGACAACACCATTTGCCTACCTCCAAGTTAGAGGTTGTGAGTGAGTGAGGTGAGATAGAAGGGGCTCTAGAAGTGCAAAGTGCTGTTTGATGGTTCGTTTCTTAGACAAGCAGAGGGTTCAGACAGGGAGGCAGAGAGACTGTGACTAGATTGTGTTTTTAAAAACATGGAGAATCATTTTGAACTGGATCCTGAAATGAATGAGGAGCCATTGGGTTTCTTAGAGGTGCCATTGTGCAAAGGTGCGCAACGTCATTCTGCGTATTCTGCTGCCTGTTGAAAGTCTGTGATCTCCCACTAACAACAGTGATTTGTGTTTGCCCAGGAAATGCCAAACCTGAAGGGTCACCTGTGCTATCTCATGAGCCATCTAAGATGAAACAGGAGGACAGCAGGGATGTGACACGACCAAGCCGACCTGCTGTGAGTCTTAAATTATGCCTCGGTGGAATTTGCCATGTTTTCATTAATGGCAATCACGCAGCCTTGGAACCCGTAGAAAGAGGCAAACGCAGTCCCATCGCCAGTTTTAAGGCTCTAAATCTGCAATATAGCAGATTTAGATATATGGGATATATTCATGCATAGAGATTGCACGGTTTACAATGGCCCCAGGCAAGAGAAGAACTTCAGCACAGCTTAATTTTACGCTTTGATGGATCGGGGCCAGAGTTTGCATATAGCACACTTTGGCATTGTGTTACCGTAGGGTGATTTCTAGAGCAACCTTGCAGAGGGTGGAGGGGGGTGCTGCGTTCAAAGGCTTGGTACCCAGCCGTTGCTAGTCACCCCAGTTTAAGAAAGAACTGGCAGTAATTTCTGTGCACTTTTATTTTATTACTTTTTTGGCAAAGGCCCATGAAAAACCCTTCCAAAGTCTCTGGTTTAATGTTATGTCTGACGTTTGTATTTTAAAACTGCGGAGTGCGTTGGGCTCAATAACCAAATGGATTTCCACTGTTTCTCTCTTTTAATGTGTATTAATGTTTTGTTGATGTTGTTTTTCTTTACACTTCACAGCGTTGCGCTAACAATTCTAATTTTATTTCTAACCTGCTTGCCCTTCCTCTGGCTTTTTCCTGTCCCGATCTGTTTCCTCTGATGCTGATTAATCTTCCCTTACTCCCAGAGCTATAAGAAAGCTATAGATGAGGTTAGTGATATATTTTCTTAGTTGGTCATGCCTTTGCAAGGTTGACTAGTTAGAGCTTAATATCAAACCATGTTTTCTTGGTGCTGACATTCAAAAAGGTGGCAATGCTAGCATGGTTCAGATTTCAGATCTGGAAGATGGTATTTAGATACAGTGAGCTAATCTAAGGAGGGGGGAGAAATTGATCTGTTAATACATTTTGCTCAGTATATTTGGCTTCACAAAATCCATTTGCAGAGCACTTGCACAAAGGCCAAACCAAGAACTACTGTACTGTGAACCTTCATGAGCAGAACAAATCACTTTATCAGTGTTCTGTGGATTTTATAGGGAATAAACTGAGACTGGAACTTTCTTACCCTGACAAAGGCTGTCTTAATGGATTGCAGCAAAGGCCAGATTCTGCTCTGTTACACCCGATGTGACCCCTTTGGTTTCAATGGGAAGCACAAATTCAGCTAAGAGCAGAATTACCCGCTTTTCAAATGAAGCCATGTCCTAATAACAATCATTCTTTTTGCCAGCATGTGCCAGGGCTGATGCTCTGAGATTGCATTGCTCTGGCTGTCGCATGATAACTTTAGGGAGCTGGTTAATCGCACGCAGGTGAAATATTAATTTATAATATTATGAGCCAGATTCTCAGCTGGTACCAATTGGCATTGTAGTTAGCAGAGCTGTGCTGATTTACACCAGCTAAGAATCTGACCCTTTACCTTTTAAGGCCTTGAGTATACTTGGGGTTTGCACTGATGAATGGCAAATCCTAAGTGCAGACAAGGAAAGCAATGACTTACGCTACTTGAGCTTGCCCTGCTTCGGGTAAGCACAACTGATCCAAATCGCTGTTTTTCTTGCCTACGTGTGGGGTTTACACAAGCGCAGCTATACCGATTGCAGCTATACCATTGGCTGGCATTGGGTCTAATCTCAAGTATAGACAAAGTGCCAAATTAGCACTTAAGGGGAGAAAACAGGGCCAGATTCCAATGTCTTTGCTCATGTTGAGTAGTACCTTACTCTGCTGGTACCCCCCATTGATTTCAGTGGGACTGTAAACAGAGCAAAGCAATGTGGGTAAGGATCTCAGAGTTTCACCCTTTAATAGCAGTTCAGAGAACCTCATTTTAGAACATAAGAATGGCCATACTGGGTGAGACCAATGGTCCATCTAACCTAGTATCCTTTCTTCTCCCATGGGGAGATATTTTTGTTTTAAAAATATCAAGGTTAAAAAAAAATCAATGTTTATAATGTGAATTTGGTGGTGACATGTTAAAACACATTTGCTGAATGGAAAACCATTTGTCTTTTATTGGTAGTGTAAACTCCTCTGGGTTCATTTTAGGACCAAAAAAACTGGTACTTCCACTTCTTTAGAAAACGGTTAGTAGGCATGAGCTCAGATATTTCAGAAGTGATGGTGGAATATGGAGTCCTTTGCCCCCGAGCAATGATTTGATTGGCTCTGTCTGATTCTGAGTGATGAAGACTTCACCAAACATTGCCACAATTTGTTGGCAGCCTGAATGAAAACAGCAAGGATTTAATGGATGTGGATTCTGGGATATTCTCTTGCACTCCCTAGAGGAGCTCCATGCAGAACAAGGTTAGAGTACCTAAGTGGGCAGTATAGGTTGAAGATTGCACAGTCACTGTCCCTCCTGTGGCTAATCTCATCTCATCTGCTAGGACAGTCACAGTAGCACCTTTTTTGACATACAGATGTCACTTAATGCAGTTGTAATTGTGATGCCACAAAATATTTCTAGTTAATACATCAGAGTAGGAGTGAATTTATACTAAATAGAAATGCTAATAAAGGGCCAAATCCTGCCATGTGCTGAGCAGTTCTCTTGTGAGGGCCTAAGTGCACTCAACTCTCCTTCACTTTGGTGGGAGTTGAAGGCACTCAGCACCCTGCAGGATAGGGCCCAAAGTTACGCAATGTTGCCAGGCAAATGCAGCAAATCTTCAGAGCTGGTTTGCGAGGTGGCTGCTTCTTGCCAGGTTCTGCACGTGGATTTCACTAATATAGCTGATGAGATCTGGGTTCACCTGAGCTGTGTCTATCTTCATATTTAACAACAGATTTTATGTTGGCTTCCAAACCTATCCACCACTTCACCAGTAACCACAGTGCAATTGCATTCAGATAACTGGGTTGAATCTAGAAGGCTCAAAGCTAGTGTTGCTACAATGAGTGTGGCTTGGCAGTGCCAGTCTTACTGCCCATCCATATTTTTAAACACAAAAATTAAGCTATATGAATTTTACACTTCTTGCCATATGTAAATATTATTAAAACAGATTTGTACATCTAACAATGTTGAAGTCTTAAATATGTACACAGAAAAGACTGTATTGTCAGTAGTACATTTCTGATCTAGTATTTATGATATGTCTTACAAATATTTGAACATGCACTAACCTCTGTTGTTAACTGCACTGATAACTTGCATTTCTACGTACAGTGGTAAGTGACCCCTTTCTAAAAGGATTGACTATAAAAAGTAGAAGAAATAAAAGCGAAAACAGCTAGCTAGTTCTCTTGGAGTGAACAAGAGCAATGCATTTTGCTTAATGAGAGAGCTTGCTAATGAAAACATTTCAATCAATATCCAGATAGGAGCAACATTAATGTAAAATGAGGTTTAAATGAGCTTTGTGATTCTGGAAACTGAACTGACCTGTTTCCAGAAAATATTAAATCTAAAGAAGTCTTTGCAATTAAGAGCAATTTAACTGCACTGGTAGTGCGATCTCATATGTTACATCACATTCAGTAATAACATTTCAAACATATATTTGGTGCTAAAAAGCACTTCCTTTCTAGTTGTTGGATTGGGAGTTTTTTGGTCCAAGATTGAGGCAATGAATCAGTAAAACCCTACAAAGTGATTATCTAGAGAAAATGAGAGCATCAAAGAATTAACCACCCCACGGCAGAGCCTACACTGGAAAATATTGATTACCTCATGGTATTGTCTGACACTGAGAGTATTATTGCTACTATAATTTCAAAATTAGATATTAAAAACTAATTAAGCTGGTATTAAACAATACTTGTTAACTATCTGTTGTTGATGGCTATGGCAGACTGATAATATATTTATGCTAATCAACACTTTGTGTCTGGTTGAAGGATTGTAACACTCCCAGACTTTTCTAACATTGAGAGATGTTACATGCTTGTTTTCTAAGCACTAGATTCTGTCACTATTACTTGAGGTTGTACCTTACCCTGGGAGCAACCTGATTAATTTAATAATAGAATAAGTTACTGTTCAGTGTCTTTAGGGATGGTCAGATGGCCCTAAGAAATCAGAGTTCCGTGCTCAGATTTAAATCTCTTGGTTGCTGCAGTTTGTGGGCAGAGATGATGTGGATGCAATTTAATATGCACAGTTACCTTTGCTTGGAAATTGCAGGTGTGAAAATGGAGACCAGTTTTTATCTGGTCTCTTGATACTTGGAAATAATTGGTGCTAGTCCTAAATGGTAGGGAGAAGGACAACTTTAAAAGAGATGCTGTGTTGCAATTTTCTTTTATACTGCTTTAAAAAATGTGGGGAAATCTAACCAGTTCAATGAAAAGTGATTACTAAATGATTTGGTTTTTGACTATAGACTGAAAACATCTTTAGATAGTTCAAATTTTCATTTATTCTTATTTCATCAGTTTAGGAAAACCAAACAAGCCATAGAAGCTGCTTGATTAATTAGTTGTCATGATTATGGATTTGACTATATTTCAGTCACCAAGTTATTGGCATTGGAAATAAACTCTTAAATACCATATTCTCTCTTTAGTCATAATAAAGATCCTTTCTTAAGGAACGGGCAACATTTTGTTTTTGTCAGAAATGTAGCATATCTGAAGCAGTGTTGCCTAATGGTTAGAACACTAGACTGGAATTCAGGAGACCTTGATTCTATTCCAAACTCTGCCACTAGCCTGCTGGGTGACCTTGGGCAAGTCACTTTCCCTCTCTGTGCCTCAGTTTTCCTGTCTTTAAAATGGGGATAATGACTCACCTCCTTTGTAAAGTGCTTGGAGAGCTATAAATGAAAAAGCACTATAGACAAGCAAGGTATTATTTCCTGTAAAACAGAACTTGAATTTTAATTTTATTTTACTTTACTGGCATTTATGGGACCTGGTCAAAGCCCATTGAACTCAGTGAGCCTTTCCATTGACTTTAATGGGCTTAGAATATGGTCCTCTATTTTCAGTCACGAACCCCTAACCGTGCTTTTTAATATGGAATATGTTCTTATCTATTTCTCAAAGCATGGATGAGATGATGTATGTCAATAATACACTGACCTAAAAAATGATCCTCACGTTTTTTTCTGTGGCCATGTTGCACGTGCTTAGTGATGGCGAGGCACAGAAAAGTGCGAGAGGAAAAAGCCCTTCCCAGAAGTGGATGTCTTGCTGCCACAGAAACCAGAAGTGTTTCTATAGGAACTGCCAAAATCTAAACGTGGTTACACTGACCTCAAATGAATTTGGTATGGTTGCATGGGAGTAAATCAAAGGGGTCACAGCTGCTAATCAATAGGGTGTAACTGGGAGCAGCATGTAGGCATGTCCCCATACTAAGTCATTGCATTGAGATAAAGACTACTGACCTAAACCCATGATATTAATAAAAATCCCCTCTGAAGTGTGAAACAGTCATGCTGTTTCTTTTTTACCCTTCAAATGATTGATAGCTTCTGATGGTTTCTCACTGCAACAGGCGCCAATTAAGTCTGACTTTAGGGCAAATTTAAATGTCAATAAAGCATTTTAGTTGATCTGTGTGGAATTAGGGATGAATGATTACTTATTTCACTTAACGCTGTGAGGGCTTCATTTTGAGTTTCTAATCCAAATGATGCCCAAAGAGTTTATTACGTCCTTAAGCCAGGAATAACAAACAACTAAAGTAAAATTTGCTCTGCAAAATATTACTGCTTCTCTATTAAAAATAGGCTGGGTTTTCAGTCTCAATTATATGTTTTTCATATTTTTTTCCTCTGCTGCCAAGGGGTAAATGTTAAGACCTCCCTGTACAATTTTAATTAATATTGTTATCCTAGTCACTCTGCTGGAACAGTATACTGGAGATTTGTGGAATGCAGTAGGGAGAGAATATGGCCATAAGAAAATTGTGGAATTTAGTATTTTTCAATGAGTTTCTTTCTCCCTAATCCTTTATCTCTGACCGAATGCACTGATGGCTACATCGGTCACTAATATAGGGAGAAATGGTAAGACTGACAATTGCAATGCGTTATTTGTCATGTGCATGCTTTGTGCAATAGAGTACTCTAACCCATTCTAATTAGAGCTCTCATACTTTTTTTTTTGCCCTACTGCTTCCCCCTGCATTGCTATAAAAGCATGTAAGATAATAAAAAGTCTATTTTCTACACGGTGCCTGCAATGTCCCTTGTACTTAAGTAACTGTCTATTTTACATAACTGTCAGGTCTAAGGTTTCATCAAAGTCATGGTAAACTGAAAAATGACTCTTTTATTTATTTTTTATGACTTCTACTTCTTTTTCATTTTTTCCTTAATTTTCAGGCTAGGAGGTACAGTATTGCACATTTCACATAAAGTGTTTAAGCTATTTCTGCGGAGGGCTTTTTTTTTAATTGTTGTGGTTGACTCAGAGCCATGACTCAAAAACTTCATCAAACTTGGTGCTGCAGTGAGCTGAGCAGTTTGACTCTGATGCTGTGTCACTGCTTCCCGGCAACTTCCTGCCAGCTCAGACTGGTAATTGAAACAGATCTTGCCTTGGGGATTGCACCATTCTGTCAGAAATGCGACCATTGCTTTCTTTCCAACGGCATTTATAACAGAGCAAATACCATTATGGTGTGTCTTTGAGAGGCTCAGAAGAAGACAGGTTTGGAGAATTTCTCCTGCAGCACTCTCCCTTTGAAATAACATTGTTTTCCAGTTTACTATGATGGTGACTGAACATCACCTTTTCAACAAATATAATTTTGACGTGTATATACATATGTGTTTATATATATACACACACACATACATACATACAAACATATTAAAACATAGGTTGGCTATTGATTTTCAACAAGCATAAAGTCAGTTTCATTTTGTTTAATAAATGCTACACGCTACAAACATTGTTTTATGTTTGTTTGATGTTTGTAATAATTCTGTTATGCTATTTCTTGTTGCTCGTGCTGTAGCATTGGCTTTTGAAGAGATGTGTGACACTTTTCTTGCTTTAAATACAATTCACGTTGGCTTTTAATTTTTTTTGCCTCCCCTTAGGACCTGACTGCGTTAGCCAAAGAGTTGAGGGAACTGCGTATCGAAGAGACCAATCGCCCTCTGAAAAAGGTGACTGACTACTCTTCCTCTAGCGAGGAATCAGAAAGCAGTGAAGAGGAAGAGGAGGATGGTGAAAGTGAAACGCACGATGGGACAGTGCCTGTCAGTGACATCCCAAGACTTATGTAAGAGACCAATTATTTAAGGGCAAGGCTGTGAAATTGCAAAATGTTTTTCTCCTCAGGAAATCATAATTTTACCTTGATGCACAATAGTTCCCAAACTGGTCCATGGGCCACTGACAGTCCACTGGCCACCTGCTGGTAGTCTTTGGAGAGTTGGCAGGTCACATGGGCCAGCTCCTCCTCCTTGCTGCCATGTGCTTCACTGTCTAGGCTCCTCACCGAGAATTTTAAGTTAAAAATACATCAATACTTCACTGATTTTATTTTCCATGTAGGCAATTGCAGTCATTATAGTCACAGGCACGTGAATGGGAAGAGAGAGGACCGTAGGACACTCTCTGCTAAGATGTGGTCTGCATTGTGGAAGAGTTTGAGAACCATGTAATATTGCACTGCCCTTCCTATTCCTATTGCTTCTGGTGTGGTGGTGCCAATAGTCCATCTTTCTGAGTTCAGTGAGTGGTCCGGGAGCGCAGTCACAACTTTGGATGATTCATTGACTCTGAAAATCAGTATTTCATAAGGCCAATTGGAAAGTTATTTACTGGGAGAGATCAAATTCTCAGCATTGCACTTAAATTAATGGGCCTGATCCTACTCCCATTGAACTCAGCAGCAAAACTCCCACTGAGTTCAGTGAGAGCCAGATCAGGCCTACTGTAGTTGCTATAGTAACTCTACATGCTTTTCATCTTCCAAAACCACAACAGAACAATGCTCGAGGGCCCGATCCTCGAATATGTTGAGTGCCCCCTGTGAGGCATGGCACTCCCTCAATTCTCATTCTATCTTTATCAGCTATTCTGTGGCCCTGATCATAGTATCTGAGCCCCTCACAATGATTTATGAATTTATCTGCACAGTCCCCTCTGAGATAGCAAAGTATTATGAACCCTGTTTAACAAATGGGGATTTGAGGCACAGAAAGAGGAAGGGCTAGATCCTCAGCTAGAGTAAATTGACTTCAGTGGAGCTATGCTGATTTCAACTACCTGAGGATCTGGCCTTCAGTGATCAGTGCAAGGTCACACAAGAATCCTGTGGTAGAGCCAGGATTAGACCATAGCTCTCCTGGGACCCAGTTCACTGCCTTAACCTTAGACCATCACTGGCATGGAAAGAATGAAATAAACAGGGGGGAGTTACAGACTTAAAATCCATGTACTACAGCATTGAGGTTGTGACTCCTTTGCAAGTCACTCGTTGTACTTAGGTATTGCAGTGTTATGAGATTAGCGCAGGATGTTACCTGTAGTCCCAAAAGGTATGTCTTCGCTGCAGAGTTAATGCAAGTGATCGGGACCCAGGTTAGTCTAGCCCAGGTATGAGTAGCCACACTGCAAAGCCACACTTGAGTTACTGTGTCCTCACTCCTGCTGTGTATGTTGCTAGGACTTCTGGGGGCATATATCATGGTTTTTATGCTGCAGTAAGATGAGCCACTCTGATTCTTTCCCAATGAATAGTGGGAGAACTCGTCTCCCCTGGGCACACAGGGTAAGAGGGGGAATTGTGGGAAGGTATTAGAGACTATCAGCACTCAAGTGATTTAACCTATATCTGTAATGAGTGAGTTACCAGCCCAAGTGAAAGTGGCACCCAAACTCTAACCCACAACTCAACCAGGCTTACAGCACTGCCAAACTTGGGAGGGAGGTTAGGGGCAACACCTGAATAAGAACGTGCGTTAACTGCAGGGAAGATGTTCCCAAAGTGATTGCAATATACATGACCGGGCAAATCACAGATAAAGCATCAAATTCACAGGTGGGATAACTCCATTTGCACCTGCTGATACCAGTTGTGAATGTGATTCAGAGTCTAAACATCAAGAACCCACGTGCCAATAAACATTCGGGCACACTTACAATGCTTGGACACCAATGGGTGCACACACACGACATAAGCAATGTTCTGTGGACAAAAGGTGGGACTTTGCGCTTGCATTGTGCATGCCCACTTTTATGGGCGCTGCCCAAAGTGGCCTGTTTGGCAACAGTAGCCATTGAGAAGGAGGTGTGCACCTGAATAATGCATTTAAAAATAGATTGCTTTGTGTTCATTGAAAACACCCAATGAAAGCATTCTCAATGCAGGACTTATCAACAACTTCATAACAGCTGTTGACATATTTTGTAATATAGACAGTCCTGGTTAACCCTTGCTTGGTTTGCCGTTGACCTCTGAGTTCAGTTGAATTTTTGTGTGGCCCCGCTATACCAGTAAGAATTGACAGCACTCAGCACCATGCAGAATCAAGCCATGAGCACTCCAGGGTTGAATGTGATGAAGAATGAAGTGCAACCTCTGGTTTGACATATCTATACTTACTCAGCACCACGATAAACTTAGTCCAACCTCTCTAATTCTAATGCATACCATGAGGGAAAATGGTATGTGTTAAATATGTATTAAAACACATCTTAAACTATCATGCTTTGTTTATAATATATCTATAAGACCTTGTCACTTTATTTCTAGCATTATAAAGTACTTCCCTTTCTTGTTTTGATGATACCAGGAGAACACTACTTGTGGCTTGCAGGGCTTGGTGCTGTCCAATCAAGTCATGAGAGCACTTTGTAATACCATAAAGAGATAGGCAGGGGGAGCCCTTTATATATATATATGCATACTACAGTATCTTACACGGGGACAAGCTTAAAGCATGAATGCAATATACTTCTAATTCACACAATAGGTAAGGCACCTTATGCCAGTGGAGGATCAGGCATGATGGAGCTCTGCTCCACCAAACTGCCTCTAGAATGTCCCTGACATCAGGGCCGGCTCCAGGCACCAGCTCAGCAAGCAGGTGCTTGGGGCGGCCAAGGGGAAGGGGCGGCAGGTCGGGCTCTTCGGCGGCAATTCGGCGGCGGGTCCCTCGGTCCCTCTTGGAGGGAAGGACCTGCCGCCAAAGTACCGCCGAAGAAGAAAGCGGCGTGGTGGAGCTGCCGCCGATTGCAATCACGGCTGGTTTTTTTTTTTTTTTTCCTGCTTGGGGCGGCAAAAACCCTGGAGCCGGCCCTGCCTGTCATGCCCTCTCTGCTTCCCCCTCTACATAGAGCAAATTCTTCACTGGCTATTTCTGGCCACTTTATGCCAATTGCATGATGCAAAGTGGCTTTAACAGATTGGAGAATCACCCTCTGTCTCTTGCCCTTTTACTTGTATTTGTGAAGACTGAAGGATTTTCTCTCTGGAGATAGCAGTTGTACTGCTTGATCATAAAACTCTTTGCATTAGCCTCCAAGTAGACGGTTAGACTTTCTTTGCTCTTACAATCAGGTGCATGTGCATACAAGAACAGAATGAGCAAGATTACAATAGGCAAGAAATGAATGACACCCTATAAAGAGAAAGCAGTGAAAATTCACCACAACCTGATCCTTACTCATAGTGCCAGAATAGTAATGATTGTCTACACTGCACACTAAGCCTGGGCTCTGACTCCGGTTTGAGCCCAAGCTCCCATTCTGTTCACAGACAAATCAGTCTCACCCAGATCAGTAAATGCTCAAGACCTGGGTCCTAGTACCCGGCTAGGGGGGTGAGTCAGAGCCCGAGTCCCACTGTGACTCAGGTGCAAGCCTTGTCATTTACAATGTGGATGCAGATCAAGCTGCAACCTCGAGTCAGAAGGGCTGCATAGTGCAGTATGCACATGTTATCATGGCTGTGAGATCCGGGTCCAGCAATCATAAACCCAGGTTTACCATGCAGTGTGGATGCTCAAGCACTGGCTTGGAAACACTGAGTCCACAAGCCCAGGTCCCACAGGGTATGTCTACAGTTGAATAAAAGACCCCCAGCATTGTTGTGGCTGGCACGGGTCAGCTGGCTTGGGCTTGTGGGGTTTGGGCGGCAGGGCTAAAAATTACTGTGTTGACATTTAGGCTTGGGGACCCTCCCCACTCATGGGGTCCCAGAGCTTAGTGCCGTGTAGACATAACCTTGGGTCCTTTGTAGTACACCCAGTTCCATTCTATCTTAAAATAAGATGCAGAAGAAATAATACATTTTTCTACATTAATGATAGAAATTTGCAACTCTAATGTTTTCCGTTTTACCACCAGACCAACAGGAGTTCCTGGAAGCAATGAGCCATACAACATAGGAATGGTGGCATCTCATGGTCTAGAAACACCCCATGCAGATACATTTAGCAGTATTTCCAGGGAAGGAACTTTAATGGTAAGGGAGGTAAGTCGGAGATAAGAGTTTCTCTGGAACATCTTCAGGAGGTTTTGTCTTCGTAAGCATGAAAAACAATTATACTGTGTATTCTAAACAGAAAATGATTGATTAAATTGTGCTCATTAATGGCTCAGTAATATAATTATACTGTATAAATAAATATGACAAACAAATGATTCTCACAACAACAAACAGCAGTGAATAGTAATACTAGAAGACTGGGATGGGATTTGATTTAATTTACTCTGCTGTAAAACCAGAGGAAATCCAAGCCAAAAGGGTTGCTCTCAATTTACACCATTGTTAGAGAGATTGGAATCTGGCCCAAAGTTTCCCGTTCTCTTCACCATTTTTCAACTCCTCCCCACCTCCACTTAGCCATCTGCCAAAGACATTCAGTTGATTTAGTATAATTATAACTTCTTATCTGAGCACTCTAATTGCAATATCTTGGCTCCTGTACAAGGAGGACCAAAAAACCTAGAACATAATGTCAATGATTGCATTTATGAAGACGATGGAATGCAAAGGTGGAGAAGTCTCCTGGCTGGACATCAAGCATGTCTCCAAAGGTCACAATAAACTTGACTTCTGGTTTTAAGGAATTGCTGAAGTAAAGCTGTGGTCATCCCACAGAATATTTTGGGTACATTTTTGGCCTTTCCAGTTTGAAATCATGGTCCACCACATTCATCAAATCTCCCCAGTTCAATTCTATTTGGCTTCTATTCCACCATTCTTGATTCTCATATGGGTCTCCTGGTGAGGAGTGCAGTATGTAAACAAGGATGATTTAGAGAGAGACTACTTTGATTTCCACTGCATTGTGATAAAAGAGCAAGACTGAGCCTCACATCAAAAAGAATTGCCCATGGAGAAGCCTCAGATTCTTTTTCTGTTGCAGTTTTTTATCATGCTGTAGATTTTTCCTGAAACAGGCGGGTGGTATTTTCCTGAAAGGCCCCACTCTGTTGGCAGGTGTTGATCTTGTTGGGGGAGGGGTTCGGCTGAGTCAGTGCAGCCAGTGACTCCTCACCCTGCCTGAACATAAAGGAGTTGAGAGTGGCTGCCTAGAAGGAAAGGATCTAGGATGTGGGGTGGGCAGTCCTGAGGGAAGAACCTTAGGAGCTGCCAAGCCTGTGGAGTTGGTTTGAGCTGGTCTTTGATATCTGATTGTTTAGAAATAAAGCCAAACCCCAGGAGGGATGTGAGTTTGGACTTTACATAGTGTGGGAGGTCTTTGTTTTTATAGTAGATTGGAAAAGGTGCCTACTCACAGTCCCCAATTTCTTAGAGCAGAATGATGATTTATTACTATATCAATTCTTTTTTCCTTTGGGGAAAAATAAATCTTTCCAAGGGCTAGCCTAGGTGACCTATGAACAGGCATTTGCCCTCCAACAGTAGATAATGTAGCTGTTTGCCCTCTTCAAAATATTACTCCAGGCCATGGCAGGGATGGGGAGAGGAGGGCAGCGCTGTGGACCCAAACTCTCCACCAGCGAAACACATGCCAGCTGGAAGTAGCCATTTGCAGGAAGAATATACAAAGAAAGGTGAGAGAGCTATTTGCCCCCCTTTCGAAATAGCCAAAGACTTCTCACTGAGACCCAAAGCGAGGGAGAGAAATCCCATGTAACTCCAAAAGAAAGAAAGGAGACAGCAGAAAAAGCCTCACAACTTGAACTTCGTCCTGCCACAGAATCAGAAATGGATTCAATGCAAAATGAGCACATCATATAAAACCCATCTAATCCATTTCCGCCCCTCAGCCTGGTTTGTACAGAGATTCTTGAAGCATAGTGATACTTGTCCACCTTGTCATGCCAGTGAAGTTAATTAAATTGAATACAAGTACAAGCCACGACCATGATTAACCAGCCACTTTTGAAATGCTGGTATTAAGCATTGCTACTGTAAAACTTGCTCTGCGCAAACAATACCAAATGAGAGCACTGGTGTCAGATAAGGACTTTAAAACTAACAGGCAGCTGAAAAATCTAACTGATAATAGAAAATATAGTGTCATATACAAATCTTCTGTTGTTCTCTTAGGACCTTATCCAAAGCCCAATGAAGTCAATGGAAAGACTCTTGTTGACTTCTGTGGTCAGGGCTTTTCTGCCCTCTTCCATGCACAAGGACAGTGCCCAGCTTTAAGGTGAAAGGTGTTCAGTAATCAAAGGACATGTCCTTTAGCCCATAAGCTAACTATTTATGCTAAACGATCTGTTCGATCTTGTATTTAGCTGTGACATTGTTAGTATTTTTCCCAGACCTGAAGAAGAGCTCTGCATAGCTTGAAGGCTTGTCCCTCTCACCAACAGAAGTTGGTCCAATAAAAGATATTACCTCACCCACCTTGTCTCTCTAATATCCTGGGACCAACAACACTGCATGAAGCAAATGGCTATCACACTTAGCAGCAGCACTTGTTATCCTAGTCAGATTGTGTTTTGAGGGGTCTTTACAAACACTTCAGATGGACACATCTCCTTAGCTACAGAAATTGATAGGCTGCAGGTGTGATTGCTAATAAAAATAGCAATAGGGGGAGAACTTCCATAACAATACCTGTCTGCATGGGAAAAGCACCTGCTAGAGAGGGTGATTTGCCTGTTTGAAAGAAACGGGGCCCTTGTCTGCAAAGGTGTCTGATATAGACAGTTACTTGGCAGACTCAGTTATGTCATGGAGAAATGGAGACTGACCTTAAATTCTAAACATTGATGAGCCCCAAAGCAGTTTCAGGCAAATCATTTCTTCCTTCTTCTGTCTTTGGTCCTCGACTAACCTGAGAATTTGGCAGCTGCAAGGATCAGGGCTATGTCATCTGTGGCTGCATATCACAACCCCGGTAATCTTTCAGGTACAGTAGCCTGCTCACGCATTTCTTTAATAACTGATATTAGTAGCAGTTAGTTGGAATTGTAGTGCCCTGCCTGTGAGTTCTGCTAGACTCCTGATTCTCCAAACAGGTATCACACATGACTTGTGCAGTCTAGAGAGAAGATCTGCTTTGTTGGTTGCCAGTGGGGGCCTATAAGAGAGGAGAGAATTAAATAAGACTTTCTTGGATTAGAGTGCTTACCTAAAAATGTATCTGGAGTAGGTTTGTCTCCTCTCCACAGAGGCGTGTAACCCTTGTTGACACTAATGGGAGCTTTGTGTGCATAGCAAGACAAGAATAGATCTGTTATTCTGTGGAAGGGAAATGTTGATGCTGTTCACTGGTGTTTTGTACTCCAGAAGCATGCTTTTGGAGCTGTATTAGCGATTGTGGAAATCCTGCAATCAGACCCCTTATCGCTGTAGCTTTTAAAAGGCAGAGGGACCAAATCTGCCCTCCACCATACAAACCCAGATCTCATGGAAGTCAATGGGCCTTGGCCTATTCTCACGGACTGACTTGGGTGTACCATTGGACCCAGCGGGATTTGCACCTGCGTGCCCAAAGTGAGAATTTGGCCTATGGTTACCTTGTTACAAAAAGGTTGATTCAAAATCATTATCATCATCAGACGTCTCCTGTTGGTGTAACATGGCTAATTGCTTCTAAAGTTACTTTGTGATTAATTCTCTCTTTCTCCTGTTTTATATTTTGCTGCTTGCCAGATGTGCATGGGGAGAATATGGCAGAGAGGGCTCTTGTTCTGTGCTTGCTTTGATACCTGGGTTACTGCAGTAGATCTATTTGTTTTTTCCTTCTCCTCTTCCTTGTACCTTGTGTCTCTGCAGACCACTGGTGAAAAAAAGCGTTCTAGTCATGCAGCCAGCAATGGCTTTGCTGGGCACATCAATCTCCCTGATCTGGTGCAGCAAAGCCACTCGCCTGCAGGCACACCGACTGAGGCCCTGGGGCGAGTCTCCACGCATGCGCAAGACATGGACTCAGTGGCTGAAGTAGGTGGTGGGGCCTCTTTGTTACATGGCTATTCCTCTTCCTTCGCATTGCTTTGAACAAGTATTAACATCCTCTGAGAAAGGGGCTTTCTCGGTGTTTTCCTCCAGTCATCTCTGCTCACCTCTCTCTTTGTTTCCAGTCCAGGATTATGATTATGAACGTAGTTGAAGTAACATTGAATCCACTTAGTAATAGGTAAATCGTTATATGTTTTAATGGTGGAAATTTGCACTAGGGCTCATTTCAAACCCAGCAGTTAATGTCAATGTTTAGTGATGTTGGGCTTGAACCAAACATCCCAGAAGTTTGTGACAGTCCAGATGTGGGTCTCAACTTAACAACTTGGGGTGAAATCTTGGCCCTATTGAAGTCATTTTACCATTGACTCCACTGGGGCCCGGATTCTACTCTCTGGCTCATCTCTAATGGGAAGATGAACTAAAAGATTGGTTAGAAAGATGCTGTGAAGTTCTTTAGGCCAAAAATGTAGCATACCTTTCAAGTTGTGGGTGTTTCCATTCAGGGTGAAGTGACTCTGATACCAGCTGCTTGGCAGTGAAGTGGTTAAATGTGATTTTTTTTTCTGCATAGGATACAAAAATCCTAACAAACTCAAGTTCTTACATATAAACAAAGTGAATCAAAGCCTACCATTCATAGTCACTTACTATATATCATACACACTTGTCTTTGGGCCAAATTCTGCTCTCAGATGCAAGCCCACATCACCCAGTATTAAGTAAAATCTGTGGGTGAATGTCCAATAAGAAATAAACCTTTTATTTTGTTGTGTAGATCATTTAGTCTATGTCCTATCATCTTATTCTCTTCACTTTAGATTATCCAGCTGTTTTAAGGATCCCTTTTAATAATAATAAATTAAAAATCTGCTAGGAATAAAGGATCCCATTCCTTGTAAAATGTAAGGATCTATGGTACATGTTTTGGCCTAAAGGTTTTGTCTGTTTCCTTCTAAGGACAAGAGGGAGTCAGTTGTTTATAAAAGCAAATATTTCTGGGGTCATTCTCAGACTGTTTTTAAAAATGGAGACACAACATGAAGGGATTGTGTTTAAATATATACATTTATAGTGTATGTGCCAAAAAAAATCCTGTAAGTTTCAAAAATAGAATTTCTGGGGCTGGACAAGCTGAGGATGGGTGTAAGCTGAGAGTTTTGGCTTCAGTTCAGACTCCCGAATGACTCACAGTACCGCTAGCAAAAACCTCCTGTCACAGCAGGAATCTGCATAGATGTCTTGTTGCATGGAAGTTTGGAATGGAGGATGAAACTCACCCCAGAGCAAGTGTGTACATACTTAAGCCCTGCATAAGGGCTTCATGGGGTCTGTGTTGTCTGAGTTCATGCAGGGCTGCCTACATACCCCTATGCAGCAGGGCAAAGATCCCCATGCTGGCCTTGTATATGTGCAGAAGGCCACATTGGGAAAGGGCATCAGAGTCACATTTATACAGATCCAGCGGCCCCAGGCGCCTCATACAGATGACATGGTGGGGCTGCAGCTGCTATACAGGCTCACTGGCTGGAGGAGTAGCTGTGCAAGAACTATGTGGTAGCATTTTGCCCTGGCCCTGTTTTGTGGGGGTCGAATATTCTGTATGGGTGGAATGGATTTCTCCTTTAGTGAGAGGGCTGTGGGAAGAAGAATTCTAAGTGTTCGCAGTCTATTCCTGCAGAGAAATATTTTTTTCAACATTACTTCACCATCACCAGATTACCCCAACATTACTTCACCAGATTGTGGAATCTCCATCTCTGGAGATATTTAAGAGTAGGTTAGATAAATGTCTATCAGGGATGGTCTAGACAGTATTTGGTCCTGCCATGAGGGCAGGGGACTGGACTCGATGGCCTCTCGAGGTCCCTTCCAGTCCTAGAATTTATGAATCACACATGTATTCTAACTGCCCTGTGGCAGACTCAGATTACATGTTCATCCCTTGTGAAACAGTGTCTGTCATGCTGACTAATGTCAAAGATAATATAGAGAGTATTGTGGCATGTACCTGTGTTGTGCAGGAAGGGAGTAAGATGACCCAAGCTTGTTTAAAGTGAATCCTTTGGGTATGTCTATTAAAAATCAATTTTCTTGTATTTTTTATTTTGGTCACTTTAATCAAGAGTGGATTTGAACCTAGGCTACGGAAGTGACAGATAGTGATTACTCTACCTGTATAGCTCGGCAGAACCAGCCGTGATATGTCAGGGCTAAATAGATTGGAGGAGACCTAGTATTATCTCAGACTGCAGCTTGGGAAGCTGAGACCGAGGTTTATAAAAGGTTGAACGGGACCTGCAGGAAGATGAGGTCTTAATATTTAAATAACAGATTTGAAAGTTATTAAAATGCCAGCGTCTTAGATGAAGAATAGCTGAGTCTGAGCAAAGAAAGAAAAAGCTTGACGCATCAGAATGGAGGATTTCATCCATTGTAAATCGTGTATTTGAAAGTGCCTTATCCTTAGTTGGGAAAAAAATCCCTGTAAATATTAAATTTTCCCTTCTAGAGTTGCTGATGCTTCATGGAAAATTTTGAAAAAGACATTTTATGTAGAAACAATTCTGCTTGTGTATATTTATCTCACACCCACAAAATAGTGTGTGTGTGTGTGTGTGTGTGTGTGTGTGTGTGTGTGTGTGTGTGTGTGTGTGTACAAAATAGTGCCTGTGTGTGTATCTATGGATTATATTTTGCTAATACGTTTGCATGAAAGTATGATCTGTTTTTTGCAGAGTTCATCTCAGGCTGTTAATTCTCTGCATGGAAATTAATTATTTTTTATTTTTGACATCACATTCTGTTGTTATGGAGACAACAGTGATGTCACAGAAGATTATGAATAGGAGAGAAAGGTAGGGGGAAACAACAGGAGAATCATGGAAGGTAGGCACTGAAAACAACTGCTAGCTCATCTGAACCATCTCCCTGCCAGTGCAGGAATGTGCCTGAAGGTACAGTGTCTAGTGTTTTCTCTGGTAAGTCTTAAGCAATGAGGCTGCTTCTACTTTCCTTGGTGGCTACTCCACAGTACATCTTCCTGTCAGGAAGCTTCTCCTGATATTAGGCCCAAATTTTCTGTTTCTAAATGTAATCCCCTTAGCCCTAGTTATATCTCCTTGTACCATCCTAAATGATCCCTCTGCCATCTTGGTGTTTACCCCCGTCACATATTTGTAGGCTGTTAAAATAGTTCCTTAATCATACTTTAGCCAGGCTTTACATAAGGGGGTACAGTTTACAAAGTCCCTACTCCCATTGACTGTCAACGGGACTTTGGCTCCAAAGTCACTTAAGTGCTTTGGAAAAGTTTATTCATAAAGCTTTTTTCAAATTTCCTTATGTCCCCTGATAATTCTTGTTGCAGATGAACTGTTTATTCAAACTGGATTTTTGTTCATTGTGATATTACTTTATGCTTTTATGGCATTTTCCATCCTCAAACTTCGTTTGTTTGAAGTGTGTTGAATAAGAGAAGATTCACGATTCCTCTGTGAAGTAGTTGTGGTCACTATTCTGATCCCCCAAGGGCATTCTGGGACATAGAGTATAAGTGACTTGCCTGAGGTTATGCAGTGTGCCAAAGTTCAGAGCCAGAATTAGAACCATGATCTCCTGGCTCCCAGTCCTTCCGCTTTAATAATAATGACCGCCTTGACCCCTTTATTTTTTATTTTTTGTATAAAATATCCTTGGTGATAAATAGCAGAGAAGAATAGGGAGAATCTGACATAGCAGAATTGTTTCTAAATCAAATGCCTTTCGGAGTGTTCCATGAGTTAGACTTTAAGAAGACCTTCATTCACCGAACCTTCACAGGGAGATTTTGGAAGCCAAATATCTGAATCATGAAAAATTCGGGAGAGCTCTTTTCAACAAAATATTTGCTCTTAAACTTATTAGCTTAATCCGTTCCTTGGAAGATATTTGCTTGAAACCCGAGTAGCATTTTGAGAGCAGTGTAAGATTATGCTTCCCTTCGAGAGAGCTACCCTTATAAAAGTGTATGCTTATCTTCTTGTAGTCAGGGTGTTATGCAATTACTCAATGCAGTGGCTTTGAGCTCTGGCTTTGTACAGAGATAGCAGATTTGATTTTGGCCCTTGGTGGCTTAAAAGAAATCTGTGCTAAGGAGGAAAAATGAGAGTGGTGTTTCTTCTCTTGTGGATACACTTGATTCTTGCTATTTTAACAGCGTTTAATATAGGTCATAAATATAGCATATCCTGAGCAAATGTGATGATAGAAGAATAAGCTGCTCAAGTATGGGGAAGAAAACATGCCACCATGAGTCCCATGATAAGAATTTCATTTTGTTCAGGAGAAGGTCTTAGCCTCGTTTTCCTGCACTAACAAAACATGAGTTTAAAAATAGAGCAATGTGATGGGAGAACTTTCTCTCAGTTTCCTGTCGCAAGTCTCAGCTTTGTCATCAGCTATGATATGTTCCGGTTTAGTTTTATTAGCTAAGAAATGACCTTCAGGGCCCTCACACTTTTTAATTGTGCAGTCATTTAAGTTAACTTCTTGAAACAAAGTAGCCCATTGAGATACCTCCAATCCTGAGTGGTATGATTTAATAACAGTGTATATTGTGCATGTGAAGTGGTTACATCCATGGGATACACTGCAGAACCATGGTAGATCACAGAGCAACGTGATAAATTTCATTTAACACATTTCTTGGAACACCTCACCTGGGCTCTACCCACTAATCCACTTCTGCCAGGAGTTGGGACTACTTCTAAGACACCGAATCTCTGCTACCAACCTGACACAAAAATATTTCCTCCCCTTTCCTACCCTCCGCAACCCCACAAAAATGTGATTGCATATGAGAATTTAAAGTAGCTTGACAAACAAGATGAGCAGTATTCAGTCCTGGACCAATGATAGATTTAAAGTCCAATATCACATACCCCATCAGGACCAGAAATGGGTGTTGGGTTTTTTTAGAGGGCCAGGATTTGTAACTTTACCAATGGGATAAATATTTCTATTTTTCCCCTGGCATATCTCAGGGTAGTGAATAGCCAAACTGTCACATTATTATGTCTGCAAAAGCTCACCAAGACAATTCTCAGAGGTTTCTAAAATGTATTACTTATTTTTCTCTCTTTCTGAGAACTGTATAGTTGAAAGAACAGGAGTACTTGTGGCACCTTAGAGACTAACAAATTTATTAGAGCATAAGCTTTCATGGGCTACAGCCCACTTCTTCGGATGCATATGCAGCCGAAGAAGTGGGTTGTAGCCCACGAAAGCTTATGCTCTAATAAATTTGTTAGTCTCTAAGGTGCCACAAGTACTCCTGTTCTTTTTGCGGATACAGACTAACATGGCTGCTACTCTGAAACCTGTATAGTTGAAGATATGCTAATTAAAACATCTTAGCTTTACAAACATAGGCATCCAAAAAAAGCAATGGGAATACTTTAAAAAACTCTCAAACATTCCTGCAATAGTTTTTCTGTCAAATGTGTGGCATGTCCCAATTACACACTGATGCAGGTCTATGTGGTTTAAAATTTTCATTTGTGCTTGTCTGGGATGTCCTGCAAAATTCACTCCTGGATTCACCATTCATGAGATGCAGTCATCCCAAACCTTTGTCAATAAGGGCTGGTCTACACTAACCCCCCAATTCGAACTAAGATACGCAACTTCAGCTACGTGAATAACGTAGCTGAAGTCGACGTACCTTAGTTCGAACTTACCGCGGTCCAGACGCGGCAGGCAGGCTCCCCCGTCGACTCCGCGTACTCCTCTTGCCAAGCAGGATTACCGGAGTCGACGGCGAGCACTTCTGGGTTCAATTTATCGCGTCCAGACAAGACGTGATAAATCGAACCCAGAAGTTCGATTGCTTGCCGCCGAACCAGCGGCGAAGTATAGACGTACCCTGAGACTTTTCTTCCACATCATCATGTGTTCGGTAATTAGCACTTATGGTGCATATTGTAGTACCTTTCATTTTCAAAGCACTATTCAAACTTTCATGAATCTACCGTTTTTATATAATGTTTATTAATGATTTTTTCAATGTATATAGAAAACTGATCTGACAGGGCAAAGAGAGTGGTTTTGAACAGTCTCCCATCTGGGAAGATTATAGTTTGTTGTTCACTGGAAGCAAAAACATTGGTATTCAGTATTATTCCCTTCCTCTGAGCCATCATCCTCTTTCTTGCTTTATAGTATGGCATGGGAAGTAGCACCAAAGCCTCTTTCACTCCGTTTGTGGATACCAGAGTGTATCAGACCTCCCCTACTGATGAGGATGAAGATGATGATGAGGAATCATCTGCTACAGGTAGGAAGCAATGCAGCCAACATGGGGTATGGACTAAATGAGATCAGAATATACACCCAGAACATAACCCAAACCTTAAAACGTTCATTAACTCCTGTTGGGGTTTTTTTTTATTCCTTCCACTTTCCATCCAAAACCCAGAAATGATGAAATACCATGAGAGAGGTCTGAGGGGAAGCAGGAACTATAGGGAAAATGTGCTCACCCTCCCTGTCAGTGGGGGAGAGATTTCCAGGACCCTTTGGCAGACTCAAGTAGAGGTTCAGCTAGTTAAGAAAGTTTGGTTGCTGCTATCATTATTTATTTAATTGTACCAAGACCCCATTGTGCTAGACACTGTTCAAACACAGACCAGAAAGATAGTCCATGTCCCACTGAGCTCACAATCTAAATATAAGACAAGAAATAGCAAGTGGATACTGACAGACCGGAAGGGAGCTCAAGGAAACAATGAGACAATTTTGGTGAGCATGACACGCTTTGGTCTTAGCACACCAGCTACCTAAGCTTTTGGTGTTCATCCATCACCTAAATATTTATCTTAAATCAAAGGCCAGGTCATTTGTTGCATTTTTAATGTCTTCTCCCTAATCAGAAAATAAAATGAACATTTCCCTACTGAATCAAGCAGACTGGAAAAGTAGCCCAGTTGTGATGGAGTTGAGGAAGCTGTTACTAATATGTTTTCTTTTTAGCATTGTTTACCAGTGAACTGCTTAGACAAGAACAGGCCAAACTGAATGAGGCAAGGAAAATCTCTGTGGTAAATGTGAACCCTACCAATATCCGCCCTCACAGCGACACGCCGGAGATCCGGAAGTACAAGAAGCGCTTCAATTCGGAAATACTTTGTGCTGCTTTATGGGGTAAACTGCTAACTACCTAACACTCGTTGCAAAGTTTTCTAGAGCCTGGGGCTAAAAATGAAACGTGAATGGTTTTAAAGACTACTTCACCATGCGACCATGCCTCAGTCTGCAGCAGCCTCACGCTACACAACAGGCACTTTGAGCAATTTGTAACTGATGGAAACTTGAGGACCCAAGAGCTTGTCTGCATCGTGAGTTACTGTGCAGCAAACCAAGGTGTGAATCTACAGCACACCAGCTTGCCAGGCAGTAGCATCTCTTGTGGACACTGCTACACTGCAATGAAAGTCCCAGAGTGCAGCTTCACTACTTGAAAGCACAGTAATTTGCTATGTAGGCAAGCTGTAAGTTAAGTATCCACATCACCTGTAGCCTCTTAAATGGGCCCTTAGACACCCAAAGGTGTCCCATTGCCAGTTAAAGCCCCCAATTTCAAAGGTGGGTGTCTAACTATGCATTCAAGCTTGGAAATTGATATCTCTGTTTCAGAAACTCATTCTGACTTGTATTTGTTTCATCACTATAGTGTATTGTCCAGCAATTTATGATATAAATGCTTGCTTTTAATAGTTATGCTATTGTAGTCAGGGTACTAAGAGGCAACATGAGGTAAAATTTTCAAGATTGCCCAAGTGATTCAGCAGCCTAAGTCCAATTTTCAATAGTGAACATCAATGAGAATTAGCAGCCTAAGTGTCATGGATTTTTTCACTACTGAAAATGGGTCTTAGGCAGCTAAGTTACTTGGGCATTCTTGAAAATTTTACTCATGCTTTAGTGATAGAGCAGTGGACAGGGACCTCTCCTCCTTACTGTGCTGGGCAACGTTGGCCAAAACACTTTTCACCTCTTCGCCAATGTGTAAAATGGAGATAATAATATCTACAGAAATGGAAATGAAGTCATGGAGTGCTCCTCATGATGCTGGCCATACTTATGGTACATAGTCTGATGCTAGATTGGTACAGTTGTGATTGTTGTCCTTCCTGGGAGCCTGAAGTAACAGAGAACGAGATTTAAGGCCTGATTCAAAGTCCATGGAAATCAATTGAAAGACTTGCATTATCTTCAATAGGCTTTGGACCAAGCCCTTAAAGCAGCAGCAGTAGTGCAGTGTGGTTTAAGTCATCCCATTTGCTTGTTTAATATCTAGGTGTTAACCTACTAGTGGGTACAGAAAATGGACTGATGCTGTTGGATCGAAGTGGCCAAGGAAAGGTCTACAACCTGATCAACAGAAGGCGATTTCAACAGATGGATGTGCTAGAGGGACTTAATGTCCTTGTAACAATATCAGGTACACCTGTCACTCTGCTTCACTGTTCACAAGCCTTTCCTTTCTAATTTCCTGGGAGCAGTTCTGTCTCAGACCAAACCCAGCCCCTTAATGTCAGAAGAAGGACTGTAGGATTAGCTTTGAGTTTAATTACAAAATCAAAGAAATTAGATCTGGAAAACACCTCTTAGGGCATCTTGTTCCATCCTCAACTGCAAGAGTGCCCGGCTGCACCACTATAATCAAGGGCTTGTCACCATTTCAGTTTTCAGCCAACAACTCTGTGCTCTTGACCCTGAATCAAAGGATAATTTGGGTATTTAAATATTCAAGCCTGTTTGTACAGGCACTCCATATGCAGAACTCCCATGGAAGTAATGTGATGGTCCCACCTATAGAGAGGCTACAGAATCAGACCATTAGAATAAGCTCCCATTTGAGAAAGCTGACACTAGTATCCCCATCATCCATAGATGGGAGGGGATAGGGAATTGCAGAAACCTTTCCTGTTCACTTATTTTTCACATTTAATTCTCACTGGGTAGAGTGATAAAATTGACTCCAATGAAATAATTTGATAGCTGTAGTTTTGTTTGTGATACTGTCCCTTTCTCTCATTTATTTAATATTTTCTTCCTCCTGAGCCTACTAGCCACTGAAGTGTAGACTTTTCTTCCCCCTCACTGAAGATTTCTTTAAAAATGCTGCTTCCTGATTTACCTTCTTATATTGCTCCTATGTACTTCTGTAAAGAATATAAATTATAGGAATTGTAGTACCATAGGAAGAAAAATGTGAAGGTAGAACTCCACTAATGAGCCTCTGTGGTGAGCTTAACTAATACAGACTTGCCAAGGTGATTGGAATATTGCATATGTGTGATTTGAAATTCTCTGAGTTGGGTATTAGCCAGTTAATCTACTGGCTAATGGCTTTACTCCACTGACTTCAGTGGTAGTCATGTAATGCATCTGAACTGGGTCTTTTTTAAGGCTTACTAGTGATAACCCATGAAATATTCACATTTGAGTAACAGGATATGGGCTCATGTCCTGTTAGACTGCAGCCACTAGAGGGTGACATGATCACACTCTCCCATATCTGACAATCTGTCCAGTAGAGTGCAGTGCTACACCACATAGCCAGACACAAAAACTTAGTGTGTGGTCAAATAATAGAATTTATCTCAAATAGCAGTAGCTGGTGAGCAAGATTAAAATTACAGAGCTACTCAGAAGGGTTCATGGACCAGATGATGTCAGAAGGTGTTTAGATGTGGGAGAATGGTATGAGGAAAGCTCATGCGGTGAGGTTGGAATGTGTAGTGGATCAATGTCATGCAATGCGATGACCCTAAATGAGTTGTGATATGCAGGGATTGAACCCAGGACCTCTGGATCCAAAAGCATGAGCCTTCACTGCCAAAACTAAAACACTCTTTTGTTAGCCAAAACTCATAAACCTGTAGTGGTGGCTGGGACACATAGAGGGGGACAGAGTGTCACATTGAGTGAGTGTGAGTTACAAATTAATTGTATTTTTTCATTTTTCACTAGGAAAGAAGAACAAGCTGCGAGTTTACTACCTTTCATGGTTAAGAAATAGAATTTTACACAATGACCCTGAAGTAGAAAAGAAGCAAGGCTGGATTACTGTTGGAGACTTGGAAGGCTGCATACATTACAAAGTTGGTAAGTGGAACAGGATGTATGTACTGTATCTGGTCACCTCATGAGGATTTCACTTGAAGGATGTTTTAAGAAATTCAGTGTAGCCATTAAAACCACAAATTAAGCAACCACTACATTTGTTCTAGTACTGAAAGAGAAACAGTGAGGCACCAATAGTAGTGAACTTGAGGGACAACTCTGCTTTGATGTTTACATGATCCTAAGGGCCAGATTCCCCCTCTCACTGTTGTAAATCAGGAGTAACTCTGCTAAAGTTTATGGGGTCACACCAATGTAAAATTGGTGTCACTGAGAGAAAAATCGGACTGTCAATCATTCATCGTCCCATTAAGCATTGACCAGTTGGTCTTGAGAGGTCTTCACTCAGTTTTCCTTATTTCTGAACAATTCACAATTTTGAAGAGACTTTTCTTTTATCACAGTTTCACCCAGGCAGTAGCAATCAGGAAGAGACTATTTCTTTGGTTATATGCATTGAAGAAAACCACTAAACTGAATGACAAGCATTTATGTGGTACTGCTCAGATTATCACCTATCAGCCGTGATCGTATTCTTGTGCTCTCCTGATAGGAATATAGGATTTTCCACACCAGAACAAACTAATGGATCATCTAGTCTAGAATCCTTTCTTTGTCAGTGGCCAGTGCTAGGTGCTTCACAGGCTGATATAAAAGCCCACAAAACTGTGCAATGTTTTCTACTATAGGCAAGAAAATTTCTTCCCAAACTCAGTTAGCAAATCAGTTGGTGATCTGTTTATTCCATGAGGCATGAATATTGATATCCCTGGAAATTTGATCCTAACTATAACTGCTGGTGGTAATTCATATAAATGGACTAATCATCTTTAAGTTGTGCTCTTTCTTTCACAGCTCATAGTCCGCTATGGAGGAAGGTTTAGTCTGATGGAAGAGTTTTTGAAGGAAATTTCTTTAAAATTAGTTATTAAATATTCCCCTTTATTAAATATGTTTAAATCACATATAACATTAATTGCTGAAGAAAGATAATCAAACATCTCATTTTTTCCCTTTGATTCTGCAGTCTTAGATCTGATCTAATCAAAAAGGAAGAGGATTTTCCCCCTCTTGTTTCTAGGTGGTTTGACCCCAAAAAATTCCATTGCAGTATTTTGTACTTTGATAGTATTTTGAACAGAGGTACAGGAATGAGGCAACAAAAAATCAGTATGCCACAATCAGGGCCGGCTCCAGGCACCAGCTTAACAAGCAGGTGCTTGGGGCAGCCAAGGGAGAGGGATGGCACGTGTGGCAATTCGGGGGCGGCAGGTCCCTCACTTCCTCTAGGAGCAAAGGACCTGCTGCCGAACTGCCGCCGCCGATCGCGGCTTTTTTTTTTTTTCCCCCAATTTTTTGCTTGGGGCGGCAGAAATGCTGGAGCCGGCCCTGGCCACAATCCTAGTTAAACTTTACATCCATCGCTATGTATTAAATAAAAACATTACCAATGGAAAGATAGTGAGACGCTCTTCCTTGAGATATATTGTGCAGACTTGTTTGAGTAAAATGGATGTTTTAAAAATTAGTTTTATTTCAATTTTAGTGAAATATGAAAGAATCAAGTTCTTGGTGATTGCCTTAAAGAATGCTGTAGAGATATATGCTTGGGCTCCTAAACCATATCACAAGTTTATGGCATTTAAGGTATGTTTATGTTATTACAAAAATACAATCCATCCTCATAAGTACATGGGAATTTCTTTATTATACAGATTATGAAAGTGTATCATTTCCTTGGTTATCCTCCCCTTATCAGGCCAGACAAGGAATCAAACACAGGTCTCTTGTGTGATGCATAGAACTGATCTGGCAGAGTTAGCAGACAGACTTTTCAATGGCATGTCTCTATCATACTTCAGGCAGGCACACAGAAAGATTCTTCAAGAATCAAGAATTTATTGTACTTAATACTATCTTTGAGATTATTGGATGCAAGGTGCTATAATAGTGCTAGGTATTGTTGATAATTATTTATTAGTATTATTTGCTCTGAATATATATTCTTCTGCAATTGAAAGTTTTTGGCCAATGCTGCATTGTTGTTTTTTTCATATGGACTAAATAAATTATTTTATCTCAAACTAATTTACATTTTAGAAGTTTGTTTTGCATCTTCCCCCCCCCCCATGTTAATTTTTATGTTAAGGTATGAAGTCTAATAATCTGAGGCCGCTTTCTCTTTTATTCCTTCCTATCTCCCCCCAGGATTTTTCACTGGTTTCCTGATTGTACATAAAATTGTACCTAAACTATCTGTGCTCTGAGTACTTTATACTCAGCACTTTATAGCACTTTCCATCCACAGATCTTTGCAGAGGGCTAACTGACAGGGGCAGTGGATTCAGAGACTATTTCATGCTGAGTAATCACTGCATCCCTCTAGCAAATATGACTTTTTCAGGGAGGGTGAGTGTGATCTGATACTGAATAAAGTGAAGTGGACTTCATATGAGGAATTAAGCAGAGTTAGGGCAGTCTTCACTAGAAGCACTACATTGGCACAGCTGTGCTGTTGTAGCACATCTGGTGAAGATGCTCTATGCCGATGGGCGAAAGCTCTCCTGTCAGCATAATAAACCACAAGAGGCAGTAGCTATGTCGGCAGGAGAAGTTCTCCCGCTGACAGCGCTGTCCACACTGGCGCGTAGGTTGGTGTAACTGACATTGCTCATGGGGTGGCTGAGCGACGTAAGTTATACCAAAGTAAGTGGTAGAGTAGACCCAGCCTTAGAAGGCAAGTTTTGAAGCTGTAGTTCAATTCTTCTGTGGCTGCTATTCGAATCTATTGACTAAATAGGCATCAGTGCCTTTCCACACCTGTTCAAGGATTCACAGGGACTGGAATTATGCAAATGCAGAGTGGCCCTCCCTTGCCTTGCCCTGCCCCACCCCACTCCGAATAGTTCATTCCTGTTCAGAGTCAGCATGAAAACCACTCAGACAGGATACAAATGGTCTCCCGCCCTTGGTTCCTTTGCCCACACACCAGCACAGGCCTTACATGGCACAGAGCACCTACTGTGGGTTGGAAGGGGGAATTCCTCCATATGTGTTGGCTGAAATACTCTCTCAAATAAAAATGATATTCCTCCATGATCCTGTTTAAAGGCCCAAGTTTTGGGGCTGTGTAGAGGCACCTGCGAAAAAAGAACTGTGTTCAGAATGGGGAGCACGGGGTGGAATTTGTCCAACCCACAGAAGATACCGTGCAGGAGAGGAGCTTGTGAGTCACATTTTTTTAATGCGTACACCATCTGACCCTGCAGTAGCCCTGCACACACCGCCTCTCTGCAAATTATTTGTGCATGCAGCAGAGGAGTGTGGACTGGCTACTTCAAAGCCTATAAATACTGGCAGAGATTCGTGTTTTGTTTGTAGCGGTGAGGGTGTTTGCAGGTTGTGACCCTAAACTTCAAGTATCTCTGTAAGGAAAAGACAAAGGGAATTGAAGTGATTATTCTGAAGGGGTGATGGTGGAGCTTGATGTGGACACAGCAGCAAAATAAGGACAGATACATGCATGGAATTAAGCAGCAGGCTGCAACTTTTATTAAACTTTAACACGGGGGAGGGGCATTACCCACCCATCACCCATACCCGGTATTTACTTGGTTCCAGTGCATGAGGTTAACAGCTTACCATATAACACATAACGTGGGGTAGGATCTCCTCAGCCAATTGCCCCAGGACTCAGCTCTCTGAGTCCTAGAACTCTCCCCCCAGCAAGCGGAACAGAGGGTGCAGCTGGGTTGGGATCTCAGCCAGCGAGGGCCATAAGGTCTGACCTCCTCATGCAAAGGCCACAGGGTCTCACCCTATCACATGAGCCCAAGACCCAACCCCAAAAGCCCGGGTTTTTTACCTCTGGGAACTGTTCATTTTAGTCTCTTAACCGCACTGGAAACCGGCCACAAGTCGCAATGAGTAAACAACTCCACCCAGTACCTCAGTTATGTACCATGCGTGTTCATACTCAATCCACTGTGGCTCAAAGGTGCTGTGAGGAAGGCAAAAACTCCCTGGTACTTTGCCAATAGGCCTAGGGGAGAAAAAATTCCTTCCTGACCCACCTAAACAGGCGATCGGCAAGACCCACAGCATCTGTCAGGCTGGGTTCCTATTCTTAGTTCGGATGGGTAGGGTGAGCTGCAGGAACAGAGATGAAAGAGATTCCACATGGCCCCCGTGCCAAGCTAAATTCTGGGAGCTGGGGAATGCTGTCCAATCAGCACCCCACTCCCCCAGCTGGCCAATGGGTGCCAAAGACTCCCAAAGGGAGGAGCTACCTATTGTCCTTTGGCGAGTATCTCCCTCCCTTGCTATTTGAACTGTCTCCCTTTCACAGCTGGCCCCATCAAGTTCCCCCACCCTTTGGTGTGGGTGTGTGGCATACACCAGTATCTTTACAGGCTGTCTTTCGAGCTTTCATTCCAGCTGTTAGATCCATATTTTCCAGTGATTGCTATCCCTGCATGGTGAAATGCAGCGTGTATGTAACATGTCAGACAGCCTGATATAACAGGAAAGACAAACATTACAGCAGCACTTTGAAGCTTCTTGTAAGATATAGCAATACAAAAAGAGCCAGACTAGTGAATCTACGTAGACAAACAGAGTGACCAAGTAATACCCTATGGGGCATCTGAGATGCAATAGGAATATCAATGACACATTTAATAAGAGACAAATGTGGTTTCATAACTGTAATGTGCTGCCAATAGTGGGCTTTGTTTGCACATCAGGAAACTGACTGAATGGATTTTAAAAGTCTTTTGCAGATCTCCAGCACAAACCGTTGCTTGTGGACCTCACAGTAGAAGAGGGTCAAAGATTGAAGGTTATCTTTGGATCGCACACTGGATTCCATGTGATTGATGTAGATTCGGGGAACTCTTATGATATCTATATACCATCTCACGTGAGTACACGGAGGAGCTGTGTTACTGTATGACTAGCATGATGAATAAAGTACATCCCAAACAAGGATTGGAAGAGGGTTCGGCTGTTGGAAATCGTGGCTAATTACATGGCATCTTGCTGTGAGTACTAAAATCACTGGTAATGGCCTCTCTGACAAGCAGATGCGAGACGGTGAGAGGTACCGTACCCCTAGTTAATAAAGATCTAATTCTACAGTCTTTACTTACATGGGGGCAAATTCAGCCCCATGCCAAGCCTGCATAGTCAGGCTTAGTGCTGGCAAGTCCATGGAAGGAGGAATCCTCCCACGTACACCACAGACTAATAGTGGAGGCATTCCATAGCTTCTGTTTCCTTGCCGGGGGGATGGTTAATAGGGAACCAGGTTCTGTCCCAAAAAACAAAATGGGCACCCCAAGTAACTGGGCCTCATAGTGCAGATCCCTTGAGGGGAGTCCCAGATCCTGCCCTCCACCCCACTCCCTTGTGAAGTACAGTTTTCCTGAGTAAGGGCTGCAGGACTGGGCTGCAGGATCTTTACTGAGTAAGCTGTGTTCAGAACTCTGTGTGTGGTTAATAGACAAAAATGGAGAGTTGAGTGAGACAAGACAATATGAGGTAAACGTGGCCTTTTCTGTACAGTCCTGGAAGCCGATTTTGCTGAACTATGGTAAGAATCTCTCATCACATGGTTTCAGCTAAATTGGTTTAAGCACATTTTGTGAATAAGGCCAAAGCAGGACTGAACTGAGTTTACAAAACATACTTGGGTTAGGTTTAACTTGGGTTACGCTGGGGTTAGCTCTATTCATTGTACGCCCACACCTTGAATACTGCGTACAGTTCTCATTGGCCCATCTTGTAAAAGATATACTGTATTAGAATTGGAAAAAGTACAGAGAAAGGCAACAAAAATGCTTTGGGGTACGGAACAGCTTTCATATGAGGAGAGATTAAAAAGACTGGGTCTGTTCATCTTAGAAAAGGAATGACTAAGGGGGGATATGATAGAAGTCTATAAAGTCATGAATGGTGTGGAGAAAGTGAATAAGGAAGTGTAATTTACTCCTTTGCATAACACAAGAACCAGGGGTCCAATGAAATTAATAGACAGCAGATTTAAAACAAACATAAGGAAGTACTTCTTCACACAACGCATAGTCAACCTGTGGAACTCACTGCCAGGGGATGTTGTGAAGGCCAAAAATATAAGTGGGTTCAAAAAAGAATTGGATAAGTTTGTGGAGGATAGGTCCCTCAATGGCTATTAGCTGAGATGGTCAGGGACGCAACCCTATTCTGTGAGTGTCCCTAAACCTCTGACTGCCAGAAGCTGAGATTGGTCGACAAGGGATGGATCACTCAATAATTGCCCGGTTCTGTTCATTCCTTCTGAAGCATCTGGCACTGCCCACTGTCGGAAGACAGGATAATAGGCTAGATGCACCATTGGTCTGACCTAGTATGGCCATTCTTATGTTTTTATGTTCTTGTATATAGTGTTTGAACAAACCATTGGAGAAACTGGGTCCGCTGGAACTATGTTTTAAATCAACATATGAATTCCCTTTCTGATCAGACTAGTGGCTCATCTAGGACAGTATCCATTGTCTGATAGTGCTGCCAGTGCCTGATACTTGACAGGAAGGGGGAGGAAATGCAGCCAAGTTAGCATGTTGCCTTAGCTACTGAAGATCAGAAATGTAAGAAAAGTAGCTGCATCCTAGTTTCTATCCTTCCTCCAAACACTGTTTATTCAAGAAAGGAGAATAATTCCTCCCCAGTTCTGTACCCAGTATTCTTAATTTCTGTTTCACTATAATTTGAACACAAGAGGTATTTAGTGATCAATAGCAGTTGATATATGGTACTGTCAAATGTCCGACATCGTTTTCTGGGGGTGTAAATGTTGCAATCTCCTTATAATGGCTGAGGCTGTTTATCTTTGACACTTCAGACAGTTTGATGGTGGGGTAAACATGACAAATTACTCTCTTTCGAGTCGATCCTTTAAATGCCCAGGCATAGCTGTTTAACAGGGTGGGATTTTCTTAGCCTTTTTTCCCCCTCTTTGATTTAATTCTGATTTGGGGGGTTATTTTAATCACAGATTCAGGGCAATATCACTCCTCACGCCATTGTCATCCTGCCGAAAACGGATGGGATGGAGATGCTCGTGTGCTATGAGGATGAAGGGGTGTATGTGAACACCTATGGACGGATCACTAAAGACGTGGTGCTGCAGTGGGGAGAAATGCCTACTTCTGTGGGTAGGTTAGCCCTTCCTCTTCTCCGTCGTCATTTACAAATGTCAAATAAGATGAGAAATAAAGGAAACTAAGATGGGGTCATTTGGGCACTTGCCAATCAAAGCAGACCGCTCTTACTCGATCATGGACCTAGTTGTTGTCCATTCATAGATTGGGCCTTGAGGACTCCCTATTTAAAGTCACTAGACTGGGGAGACAATGTGCTCCAGTGGAGAGGGCACCGGATGGGGAGTCAGGAGAACCTGAATTCTAAACTCCTGGCTCTACCATTGGCCTGCTGTGTGACCTTGGGCAAGTCTCTTCTCCTCTCAGTTCCTCTGTTTCCCCCATCTGTAAAATGGGGATAAGGATACTTTCCTCTTGTTAAAATGCTTTGAGCTCTATGGAGGAAAAAGCACTATATAAGAACCATTATTATTATTATTTATTATTTGAGTGCTTTCTCTTGATGTGGCTGGCTTCTGCTACCTCTGGCAAACGGAGAGCTACTTGATTCCTCTAGACAGTCTTTGAATACTGATTGTTGAGAGCGGCTTTGCCCATTTTGTTATTAATAGCCTGCCAAATGTTTTTAATGCTCTTTTGGAAATTCCTTTTGACAGCCTACATTCATTCCAATCAAATAATGGGCTGGGGAGAAAAAGCTATTGAGATCCGTTCAGTGGAGACAGGACATTTGGATGGAGTATTTATGCACAAGCGAGCTCAAAGGTTAAAATTTCTATGTGAAAGAAATGATAAGGTAAGTCTGCCTCAGTGTGCATCAGTGCTTTACATCTTTAAGATACAACCAGCTACCTTGAGGTTTCAGATCTAGTTTGTCTTGAGGTTAATAAGTAATCAATCTGATGGTCTGCTTAATGCACACAACACACAAGCAAACCACTCCAAGTAATTCTCTTAAGTGGAGACAACCAGTAATGGGGAGAGGCCCTATATTGATTCAGCCTGAATTTCTCCTAAGTGGTGATGACAAAGCTACTTGAGGAGTCTGCTCAAAACCTAATGGGACCATTTGCCTATCTTTGATCAGCTGAAGCGGATCAGTTGTGTTTCCATTTACAGATTCTATTATAATGATTTTCTGCATAACCATTCCCCCATCCAGCAGAGTGAAAATGCTGCTGAAATAATACTCCAGTTCAAGCTGCCTCACCTAAACAATAGCCTGTACTCTAAAATATTGCATGGCCACAAATCAGTTCCATGAAATAAATCCATTTAGAATTTTGTCAGGTCAGTTACACACACACACACACACACACACACACACACACTACATTAAAAGAACATTATTAATGTTGCAAAGTCAAGTACTTAGAAATTAAGAAATGCCAGAATGAAGGTTGCCTATGCAATCTTCATTTGATCCCCTTGTGCATACGCATTATGATACAATCTTAATAATGTTCTTTGAATGTAGGTTTTTGTGTGTAAATTCCTAGGTTTTTCAAAAAGCAAATTGATGAAGCAAAAATTCCATCATGTGACATCATATTGATACCCACTCATCAGCAGAGTTGGACTGTTTAGATCCACTGCACAGATCTCTGCCTCTTGGGCCAACAGAATAACTGGTAGCAGTAACAGGATGTCATCCTCTGTGTGGACCAGCACAAGGGAGGGATGAGAGACCATATTTGCCAAAGGGTTTCACAGATGTATGCTAGCAGCAGAGGAATGTGAGACTCAGGAATCAGGAGTTACATGCCAGGCTTTGGAGGGGAGTGCTGTCTAGTGGACACAGACTCTTCTACACATTTTCCCCAGACTTGATGACTTCTGCCCCATCCTCTCCAACATGTCCCTGTCCCAATCCTGTCTGCTCATCCCTGGCTACTTTTCCTAAGCCCAGACTCCTTTCCCAGCCAGTCAGTTACTCTTTCTTCCCCCGACCCCTTCAGTTCCAATCTCACCAGACTCTTTGTCCCATTCTGCTCCTTTTCTTCCCCACTGCCCTGGCTTTTGTCCTCTTATGCATTTGCATCAGGCAGCTTCCCCTTCCACATTGCCTGGGTGCGAAAAGTGGGGTCACGGAGAGTACCAGAGAGAGAGAGGCTCCCTGTTCTCAGGTCCAGTGCCTCGCCCCATTCCAGCCCAGAGCCCCATTCCAGCTGGAAGCAGCCATTACAGGGAACATCCAGCTTTGCCTCTGCAGCCCTGGACTGGAGGGAGCATGCTGAGTTGCTTTGTGGGGATGACACATACGTAATGCACTCACACGTAGGAGCTGTGAAGAGATAGAGGATGCACAGTCTAGTTACACATGGGATCTGTGAGGGGATGGGGCATGCTCAGTGAAGACAGAATTTTTAGAGATTTTTAGCTGCTAAAATCAAAAGTCTCTGCTGAGCATGTGCAAACTGCGATTTTTACAAAGATGGCAACAGGCACGTCCCTATTGTAAAGCCACCCCACTGCCAAATTTCAAATCCCGGATACGAAGCATGGGGGTGCTAGAGCTGTTCAAAGAAAAGGTCACCAGCTTTTTTTTTTTTTTTTAACATAGCAAAAGAACAGAATTTTCCCTAATTTCATTCTCAGAAACAGCTGAACAATTTGGCTGAATTTCTCCAAAAGGTTGACCTGAGGCAGACAACCAGCATGAAAAATGTCAGGTCAAACAGCCTGGCAAAGTGGTAAACAATTGAAAACAAGGTCTTAAAATGGGAAGCCCTGCCAATAATAAACTTGGCATTATGGAGCAATCCAACCCAAGCTCTCCTCTCTGGTACTGATAGCAAGTCAGGAAAGCCCCATACTTTTATTGACACCTACGTTAATGATGATCTGGCTTGGTGGGTCATTCTCCAGTGGGTCTGATTTTGCTCAGAATACAGCCAATACAGGGACAACCCGCCTGCTCAACTTTCCTTAGATGGTAGCACCAGTTCTCTCAGTTGACGTCCTAAGTGTTAGATTTCAATTTCCTTGTACTAGTCTTGGAGAGTGTCCCTTTGCATATAGAAAATGTGGGAATGAAGAGTGTTGTCTTCTGCAGTGACTGACTTAGAGAAGTTGTGTTACATGATGGACTGAGGACCCCCTCCAGAAGAAAATTCTGCCAGGTTGTCATTCATAAACTCTTATGTCATCTCGAGATACTAGCAAGGTGTAAGGTTCAAACTTAGTACTGTTTTTGGCATCCATCAACTCTTTTGCCCCCAGTAATGGCTTGCCTGGAGTAGTGCCTGCTTGTGAACCTTTCCAGCATCCTCCTACAGCTGCAGGTCTCTGTGGACAGTGGGGAGGAAAGTCTCTATCCCCCTGCGTTTGCTGGATGCTTCTGTAACCTTCACCCCTTGGGTGGGGATTGGAAGACTGGAGGGACTTGGACCCACAATTTCCTTCAAGTAAACAGTAGATTCCACTTATTACTGGGTGTTCCCCAGTCAACTCAAAAGTCTTTTCTGGTCAGGGACACATTGCTTCTGCCTCAGTGGCTGTCCCAGCTGTCTGGCTTGTAGTGAAGCTCCCCTTGTGCAGAGAGGCAGAGCTGCATCCTGCTCCCTCACCAGTCATTCCTGAACTAAGCCAGGTTCTCTCCTTCTCTTCTCCCTCCAGGCCTGGCGATAGCTGCAGGTATTGCAGGGTGGGGCTAACTGGGTTCTCATTTATCCCTTCTCTGCTGGTGTGGTGTTTCTCTGCCCCATCACAGCCTCCTTGTACTGCAGTCACACTACCTGATAAACAGGATTAAAGTAGAACTTCACTGGAAACCAGGTGCCCTGTCTCCATTCAGCTCTCCTGAGAAAATAAAGAAAAAAAATGAAGAGGGGAAACTGGTTGGCTCAAGGTATTGGTAATGGGATAAGGAACCTTCCATCTCTAGGTTGCTTGTTTGACTCTAGCTTGGGTCGTTAGTGACTAAAAGACATTTGGTGGCTGTTAAATCTAAAAAGCTGAAAAAACATGCAGTTAACTACTTGTTTGGTGTTGTTTTTTTTTTTTTTTGTTTTGTCTTTTTCCTTCCCATACAGGTATTTTTTGCATCAGTGAGATCTGGAGGAAGTAGCCAAGTTTTTTTCATGACCCTCAACAGAAATTCCATGATGAACTGGTAATAGAAGAACGCTTGACACTTACCTTCATGGCATTATTTCTAATTTAAAGGACATTAAACATGTGGACTAACACTCTAGAGGCAGATACGGAAAGCCTTGTGGAATACACCACTCCCCTACACACACTCTCACAATACTGTACACCCTTCATTGTTGCAGTCTGGTAATGGAGAGAGAGGATTCGCTGGAGATCACTAAGAATGCAACACAGTGTTTGGGGCAGAAAGAGACGTATGCACTTCAAAAGTAGGGAAAGAAACCTCTGATGGTCTCCTGATTAAGCTGTGTTATAGTGGGTTATGAATTTTTTTATTTTACTTTTTCTTTGTCCCCTACTTTGTAAGAATGGGGAAGAGAATAGTGTCAAAAAGTATGTTTTTAATTCTGTCTGCCTGCTAGCATCAAATATGTAGTTTGCTGTAAAGTTACTAATTCAAACTGATGAAAGACAGCACAATAAATGTACCTTTTATCTTTGCAATGAAGGCCATAACCCATATAGCTAAGTAATTTGGGGAAATCTTTTGCCTTCACCAACATTTACATGTTGCTTTTGGCAGCAACAGCTTAATGGATTTTTAAAGAAGAGAAAAATAATAGTTTTTCCCCTCTTTTGGGAAATGGATTTTAAATGGCTAAACTACTAGCCTTAGACTAATAAAATCAACAACCATTTTTGTCAGTCTGTCAGTCCATATTTCTATATGGATCTTCACATAATGGTGTGTGTTGATAGAGAAAGTAGTGTAGTTCGTTGTTACTCCTGAAAAGGGTGTATTAGCATTTCTTTCCCCATGCTACATTATGCAAGAGGTCAGGGCAAAAGAATGGGATGGAACAAAGGCTGAGAGAAACACAAAGTCATTCAGGTGACAAATCTACTTGGAGGGGTGCATGGATCCACTTGGATGACAGGGTTGTTAACTTAGGATCCAGTCATACTGAGAACTAATTGGGTGTGCTTAGCTGAATGATTGGGCCCCACTTAACAGTGATGCTGTGCATTCAGAACTGCCATGGAAGTCAGTGATAGCTAAGGGTGCCCAGCACCGATAAGGATTGTGGCCCCAGTGATAACATGGCTTCTGTTGACTTTGTCTCTTCTCCAGATATGAAGATTGGGACGGGCAAGTTAGAAGGTTCTGAGAGGCCAGTGTCCTCTCAGTGTAGGGGGGAGAGGGGATTAGCCAAAAGGTGCATTGCACGGCTGAATTGTAAAGAATTTTTAAAAATAAGGTTTCTTGAGTGAAGATTCTGAAGCTATAATCACTTTCTGCCCCTCCTCCACTCCCCACGAATTATCCAACATACAGCGAACGACAACATCTGTGCAGAAATATGTATGTATTTAGTTCAGGTTGAATTGTGTCCTTATAAACTCTGCTCAACTGATTTAAATTTTAAGTGAGTATCTGGGATTTTTTTTCTCAATAGCTACAAGCATGGCTGCCTGTGGTATTAGGGTGTTGCATAACGAGATCTGTGTTGCTGTTTTTAACCTACCTCGTTTTGTTCGTTTTTGTTTTGTTTTTCATTTTGCTGTTCATTGCAGCACTGTTACCTCCGGGAACATGTAGAGAGCTCAACTGGCAATCTCTGATATTATATGTAATAATAATGACGCTATTAAAAAAACCAAATCAACAGTCGTTGGTCAAATCTGAATCCTTCACTGATTAAAAAAGAATCTCACACTCTCAATCCCCCTGGCCCTGTAATGGACTGCACCATCCATTATTGTGCTGGTTGGCACTCGTTTTGTTCAGAGTCATTTAAAATCGGTGGCTGGCCATACCATCAGTGAGAGCACAATAAAAATCAGACATCCGGGGCAAACGTATAGCAAGTTGGTGAAAATATGCTACTTCTGGCCTGTGGTTCTTAAAGTTTCATCATGGCGGCTCCGTAGGTTAGAGGCAGTTAAGTAAGGGAATCCAGGCAGCTTTACAGCTTCATTTCTGAGCCTGTGCCATTAAGGCACCAGGGTGCTGGTCTCAGTCAGAAAATAAAATAAATAAGTAATAAAATCCTAGTCAGATAACTTGATCTTTAGCACAGTTCAAAGCACTATTCACGGCTGTTGGTTTGATGGACTCTCTCTTCCAGAGGAAGGACCTGTGCAGGGCCAGTTGCTTCGGTGACTCAGACTGTCTGGCTGTGTATACGGTAGCCTGTTCATCTGAAATTTCCCACCGTTGCTAGCATCATTGGAGCTCCACCTATGGCAAGAATGGCAAGAGCCCTAATGCAGACAAGTTTCCAGGCAGCCACTGGCATGTTAGCCACTGCATTGTCATTTAGCCCTGGTCAGAGCACGTCTACACAACCTTGTGGGCATGATGCCAGTGGCTGCCAGCATTTTGTCTGAATTAGCCCTAACGCCGTTGAAGCTGCAAGTGGTGGGAAATTCAAAAAATGGTAAATGCCAGCAAAGCTTGTAGTGCACATTCCAGCAGGGACCTTGAAATCAGCAGCAGTACTTCATTGAGCACCCTGGAAACCACAGCAGAGCACTTACGAGTGCTCCTAAGTAACAAGCCTAGGCTTGCACATTCCTGTAGGGGTCTCCAAATCAACAGTAGAGAGACTTCAGGCTGTCAGCCACAGCAAAGCACTGTGGGTACTTTGAAAAGTGTCCTTAATTAAAGAGCAGGTATATAACTTGGGCTAGCTATAATTTCAACCTAGCGCTGCCACTGAGTGATCAGAAAAGGGCCTCCACTTTCAGTTCACATCTCCCACTACCACACGTACACACCCTTGTGCTTTGTATTGCAACGGATGTTTTATTTAGCAATAACTTTTCTGATTAAATTGAGCAACTGCTGTAGTTGTTAGATACTGGAATTAAAACGGAATCAGAGTAAGTCTCTTCAGTGACAGTGATTGCCACCAGCTCTTTATATTTTCATTGTGGCTACCTTAAACCAGAAGCTTCTTATTAATTTATGTTGCAGACTGATGACTTTTTTTCCCCTAAAGTGTCATGTTCAGAATACACAGCTTTAAATGATTTTTTTTTTATTGTGGGTTTTTTGGGAACAGTTACGAAATAAAAGGGAATCATTGTGTTTAAACATAAGGTGGTTTGTGAATGTATTTTTTAAAAACCATACAGTCATTGAAACAAAATCATAAGAAACGATATTGATGCATTCTTGTTTACAGAGGATGTATGTGAACATAACATAGATCAAAAACATTTCTGGTGCCAACTACAATAAAACACAAAACTTCAAACATCAAGCCATGCCTTTTATATTTTTGTATTAACCCTCTCCCCTGGGGTAATAACCATTAGCAAGTCACAGAGGCAAAATAAACCACACTCCTTCAAAGGCAGCTAGAGGCTCAATATTCTGCAACAAAACAGAAGTTCTTAGAAAAATAAGATTCACCATAAAAGATCAGATCATTGACCCATCATGTCTGGTACCCTGCCTGAGAAGAGTGTGGAAATATCTCCCTGGTGCCTGCAGCTCTCATTTATGCCCTGAACCAAGAGCTTTTATTATCCCTCAATAGCATCCTAGGTGAAACCAACAAAAATGTGACCAACATTTCAGTCAGTGTTCAACAGACCTCTGCTATTGTAATATCAAACACTCAACTGTTTTTAAAAGAGGCCAGTTGTCCTTTTTTGCATAGCATCTATTCAGTGAACACCCCTGGATTCCACACCTTCGTATCACTTGTGGATCTAGATAGTCCCCTGTTTAGAAGATAAAGTATGATAAGCAGACCAGCACATAATGCACCCTTGTGATAAAGCCTTCTATTATATTGACATGCCAGATGCAAGGCTGTTCTTGCATTCAAACTCTCAGTTGCATTCAGGTCCATTATATTTGTCTCCTGTACAGCCATGAGCTTGATTCAGCCTGTGAAGACACTGGCTTCTCAAGAGACCCAGAAGGGGGTTGTGACAGTACAAAGCAGCTGCAGCAGTACTCTCCACCACTTCTGCCAGCGCAGCCCCAAAAGTATACATCACTAGCCAGTGTCACTGGAGGTAGAGCTGTATCAATAGCTGATATCTTGGTTCACTGGTTGACCCAGAAAATTGGGGGAGGGGGGCATTCATTTGGTGTTGACTAAAACAGAAAAACTTTGAATTTTTCAGCAAATCAAAAAAACTGAAGAAAAATTGTTTTGGGTTGAATACAATATTTGTTCAACTCAGAACAAAACATTTCATTGTCAAGTTTTAACCTTTTTAATAACATTGTAGTAACATTCAAAACTAACAGAAAATGTCAAAACAAAATATGATTTTTTTCAGATTTGTTGGGGGGGAGGGGTAACTGAAACAACTAGTGAATTCAACACAAATTTGCAAAATGTTTCAGTCGACCCAAATCTGCCATTTTCTGTAGGGGGGAGATAGTTTAGTCTGAAAAACTTCTTCCAGCTGTAGCTGGGAGATGCCCTGATTTGGCATATCTCTGCACAAGCAGCCTCCATCGGCAGGGCTCTGATCTCATGGCAGGATCACAAGAGGTACAGTTAGGGGTTGGGTAACACAAACACCCTTTGCCTACCCCAGGGTGCTGGCACAGAGGTGAATCAAGTCCTATACCTGTAAAAACATAACTTTCCTGGTCCAGTTTTATTGACAGTACATAGTACTGCACTCACTAGGTCAGGAAAGCACTAGCTACATTTTATATAAACATCTCTTCCTTTTTATATGGAAATTATTTTTTCCCACCCTCTCAGAAATTGATTGAAGGTCACTGGAAAAATGACCATTCATTACAGTCCTTAGAACAGCATCATGTTGGCATTAAGGGCTGCTTATTTTATAGGGCTGTGTTCTGGTGTGTCTGGAAAGCCACCCGGGCAAATCTAGTAAAAGGCAGATGAACTAGTACTTGGGTAACAATTGAATCTATGCTACAGGGAGTCAGGATTTTCCAAGGCTGGTCCTTAATGTACTTTGCATTAACAGTTTATGTTGGAAAATCCTATTTCCTGACAGTAAAGACCATTCATTGTTCTCTAAAGGTATAATACTCAACACTTCTATGGCACTCTGCATCATCGCTGATGATGTAATCTTGATTATCACAACACTCCTGCACGGTAGGTGTTATCACCATGTTCAGTTTACATAAGGGGAAACTGAGACAGAGAGGTCAAGACATGCCCAGTTCCACACAGCAATTCAGTGGTAGACCCGCCTTAGAACTCAGAAGCTTCTGGGGCTCCCAGTCATGTGCTCACTCCATGAGACCCCCGAATCAGGTCCATTAAGCACATGTGCTGATCACTTCCTCCTCAATCATTTCAGTTAGGGAGTGGGAGGCAAATATTAGGCTGCTACCTTTTTAATTAAAAATATTTTAATTTGCTAACCAAATTGGTGTGTTTACAGCATGTTTTCATGTTTGATTAGGAATACAGTTAGTGAAGATTAAGCAGCTTTGTGTCCTCCAGTGTGACAGGTAGTTAGAGGTAATTTCCAAAGCATTAAGTTGCTTTTAATGTTTACAGTAACAACGGGCCTAGGCAGCAAAGGCTGGATCCTGATTCGAAGGTTTCCTATGTTCAAAGAGCATTTGGATTTATGCCCATATTTACAATCTGTTATGCTTGAAAATCCAGTTATAAAACCACAAGCCTGGAATCTGATCTCATTGATGCTGGTGTATGTGAGGAGTTAACTCCACTGAAGTTATTGGAGTTACACCACTATAGAGTAGGTGTAAATTAGATCAGAATCATGTTTTTAGACACATGTATGCAACTGCCAGAGCAAAGATCCTTTTAAGATGGAGACACTAATGTTTCTTCAGGAGCACAGGAGATGGGCAATGTGAAAAAGATATCCCCACCCAAAGCAACGCAAGTTACAATGACCTAAGCACTGTCCACACCGGCGCTATGTCAGTGTTTCTAGTGTAGATCTGCCCTCAATTTCATACTACTGGGGAGACATGAGTATCTCCATTCGTATGTGCTGAGAAGTGAATGCTTTGTTCTATTTCGTGGTTCTGCACCATTTATATATCCCATAGGCTGAGTAGTCCCTTCCCACTGATAAACCTCGATTGTGCTGGCTTCTGACTTGCTCGTGAAGTTTCTTGAAATGTTTCTGATTGCAATTCATGGTGAAAGAAAAAACAAAACGCTATTTCTACTGCAGCTGGAAGTAAAACTGGACAAACGTAGCAGCTAACTGGCTTGTAAAATGAGATGTGTTGTACAAATCTCTCTGTATTGCTGATTTAAGTCTTCTGTTTACAGTGTTAATAGATATGTACAATTGCGAGGTGTATAATATTAACAAAAGGTGTTTCTTTTTCTGCAGTTATAAATATCGCCTGGGTTATTTTTCTGTCTCAAACTCCTTAGTAAGTTCAAAACTGCTGTCAGTAGTTGCTCAAAGTGAAAACTCCCTTCACTGCAGATGGGCATAATGTTGATCCACTGTACATTCTGATTCTTTTTTGTTTAACTCGTCGTAGTAAAGATCTGATGTGAGTTTCTCAGCACCAACATTCACTCAAACTCTCTCAGGGTTGATCAAGATGGGCAACATATGCAGGGAGCCAGTGCATGCTGTATTAATGAGCTATGCATGCATGGTTTTATGCTGTACTCTAAGACATGAGGCTTCTGCAAAATGTATCTGTTTTACTGTACCCAGGTGTGCATTGAAACTGTTATACTCTTTTCAAGTACAAGTAGATTAAATGAAACACTGATTTAAGGGCACAAAGCTCCTCTCATTTAAGTTGATGGCAAAACTCATATTGACTTCAACAGGAAGAGGAGGGAGCCTGTATTAAGCATCCAGTCATGATAAAGGAAAGATCTCTTTTAGTTTAACTTGAAAGGTCTTTTCCCTGTATATCTGATTTGTAATTGGTTGATTTTCATTGAACGTGAGCATGCGGCAGCATTTAAGACTGGGTAGCAGCCTAAAACCAGTGATGATTTTGGAGAAGCTCTCCACATCTGAGCTGTGCTGAGTCAACAGGACAGATCGTTATCACGGCAGACATCTCACTTTATCCTGCAGTCGTGTCAAAAGGCTCTTATCAGGATTGGGGCCCTATTGTGCTGGGCATTGGGCAACCGTAGAAAAGAGAACATGTTAGCCCAGAAGGCCATCTTGAGGGCTCTGGTTCTGGATAGAAATGGGTCGCCTCTGAATCTCTGGCATCTCAGGAAATGCTGTGTGTTTATTATGCGTATTATCATAGCTGTAGGAGCTCTAGTCATGGACCAGTACCCCATTGTGCTAGGTGCTGTACTTTATTATTATTAATATGGGTGAGATTTAAAATTTTCATTGGTATTGTTCATTTTCTTTAGTACCAGCACCTGATTTTCACCAAGTGGCTTCAGCTGCCTGCTGGGTTGAAGACCCTTGAATTCAGTTCATTCCTGAAAAGCTGCTATAGATTTTAGACTCCTAATGAAGGGCCCGTCCTGCATTCATAGGTGGAACCACTAGGGGAGATGGTGAGACCCTGTCCTCCCTCCCTCACCTTGTTGATACCCCCCTCAGAATGGTTTCAGGACTTATACATTCTCACTCCTCAACTTCCTTTTATGTGGCTGTGCCTTTGTCTGCATTCCTTGCGTGCCCTGTCTAGTGAAATTAGTAGGAGTTATGGGTACACCAGGAAGGCAGGATAGGGCTCAGATGCTGTGTTTATATTTGGTTAAAATGCAATGAAATTTCATTGAGGGGACTATCCTCCAACCTTCCTGCAGGACTATTTGTCATCTGTTCATTCCTGTAAGGGGGATACATTGTAGTTCCACTTTCTTTGATCTTGTATTTTCCTTCTAAATTTAATAATTTTAAAAACAAAATTATGAACTGAAGATAAAATGGTTTTCCCTTTGTTCTCATTTGCCTTGTCATGTGTCATTGGAGCTGTGAAAGGTGTGTAACTGCGGAAGCCTCAACATTGTGGCTTTAGGAATACACACACACACGTACACACACGTACATAATCTGGAACCCCATGTCAGCCAATCAGAGCTGTCTGTCTGTTCATCCCGTGCTCATGGGTGTAGTTTATGCACTCCTACAGTCTAAGCCAGTTTATAACTAATATTCTT